GTGCAAAAAAACTTGTGAAAGAAAAACGAAGGGGAGTTGAGTTTGTTACCATCACGTGAGAGTCACTCGAGTCACCTCTAAACGAAAATATTATATTTGCTCTCCGTGTCGTGCACGTAGGTTACGATAGTGGATGGATGTAACAAGTGTAAATTGTTGGAAGAGCGTTTATAATCGCAAAGTGGCCGTGAACATGACACTGCGCATTTTTCCTTGAATCGCTCGGTCTTGTCTCCTTAGAAATCGAGTTCAATCGATTGCAACGTATCGCGCTGGACATGGCTTGGCGAGTTTCAAATGTTTGACATGGAATTACATAACGCTTACATCGCCGATGAATACGCATTAAAATATAGATCCAAGGTTATGGGAATATCGATAAAAGTGTGACACATGTAACAGATCGTGCAGTTGCGAGAGTGGTTTAGTTCGAAAATGGCACACAATGCATCTCTTCTCATTCAACTTGTATTTAAATAAATTTCAATACAAAGCTTTTATTTAATCTTTTCAAGATTAATACATTCGTTTACTTTTTTTTTATTATTTATTGTTTATTAATTATATTAATGTAATCATTATATATTTATATTATATTAGTAAATTTGGTATTATATATAATTGTATAAATAATTTTATTATATTTAATATTTAATATAAATTATATATAATTATATTATATTAATGTAATCATTATATATTTATATTATATTAGTAAATTTGGTAGTAACTTATGTTATATTAGTATTAATTTGGTATTATATTATATTAGTAATTTGGTATATATTTATATTATATTTATAAATTTAGTAGAATTGTATATCATTATATATTTATATTATATTAGTAAATTTGGTATTTGCAATTCCCGCGTTGTGAGCGTAATTGCCATTATTACTATCGGGCATCACTATCGGGATTACATTGCAATTAATAAGTGAAACGCTAAGTGAATATCAGTCGTTGGTCATGGTGCACTTTATGGAATGATAAACAATCTGCATGCATGCACGTCGCGTTCAACATTAAGGAGGAATTTACAAGAGCTCGTTTGCAATGTTGTCTGCAATATTATGTAGCATTCATTTACATTCTTCTCTGAATAGTAACTACAATTCAACGAGGATTCTCTCAAATGCATAGAATCTTCTATTTTTTTTTTTTTTTTTTTTTTTACTAAAAGTAAATTTCAGGAGACGCGTCTCTTTGTTAAAATGTTCGAACAAAGTCAAGAGAACAATTCTATAAACGTAAGGTTAAAATTACAAACGCGTTGGAGATGCAGAATGCTACGACACGGTTTTTGACTATTGCGTAATGTGTTAATTATTTGTACTACAAATAGCCTGGCATCGTTAGCGCCGATTGCAACACGGTCAAATTTTCACCACTGGAACATGCATGTACACGAAATTGTCTGTCTCGAATGTTGGATTAATAGTAATACTTCCTCGTTTCACTTGCTCACCTTTCTTTGATAGGATTAAACACGAAAACGCGGCAGCGAGCTTGTCATATCTTGCTTTTCAACAGATCGTTCGATTCTCTGAACACCATAATCACCACAATACCCACAAGTATTGTTTCATATTGACTACTTCGTATCTATTGTAAGATCCTCAACAACCTTTTGTACCTGAACTTAGATATTTCTTTCTTTTTTTTTTCCTTTTTTGGTTTTTTAGAATTAGAGTGTATAGCGTGTATAATGCTGGCTGTCCCTTGTACGGAAATGGTGTAGGCTCTACGCGTTGTTCGTTTTATTAGGCCTTCCGGTGTGCGTGCCGCGCTCAAGTTACTTTGGCGTTAACGTCAGGGTGACTACATGGTTAACGCGAGTCGTTCTGCGTTTAGCACGCTCTTTCCCACATTTATAAACGAAACATAAACGTTTTTCGAGTGGATTCCACTTCAGCATTTGTCACGTTTGTTCTTCCCAGGCATTTGATATTTCAAGAGATAACGCAAAATCTGTGAATGAAGTTTTTATGTCTTTCCTTTTTCCAGAGATAATAAAAAATGATTTCAAGATATATTACCCTTATCTCTATGTCCGTAGTGTCCAAATACGCACGCACGTGTGAAATTAGTAAATTTAGAACGACGAACTCAATATTTGCAAAGCAGATAATGCATTAACATAAATATTGCAGAGAAGAGATCTTAAGGGAGAGATGAAAGTGTGGAGATGAAGTCTTGGTTGGCTGACTTCGTGTGAGAAAAAGGGGGATATTGGCCATTGTCTACGCTTGTCTTTAGAATGTGGGAGCAAGCCAAGTGTTTAATTCGAACGATTGCTGACCGGACAGACGTGGTCTACGCAAACCTCATAAATGATGTTAGAATTAAATGATGAAACATATTGCTCACATACATATATACAAAATGGCTCGTAAAGATATTCGAATACTCACTCTAGAAAAACTTTGACGTGTATATACATAAGTCGTGTAATATATGACTTTTATAATATATACTCTATGAAATTTCATCAACTCTGCGGTAAAAGATTGTTGTGATTGGTTGTGAAAAGAATTTGAAACTAATTTTAAAATGTATATATGAAAATTAGAAAATAACATATGTATGTATATGTTATAATATTATTCAAAAGTTTTATAATATTAAAAAATATATATATTTACTATGCTATATATTTATATGCATAGCATATTGACGTGAACAGTCATCTTAAGCATATAATAATGTTTATGATGCGACTTGGATCAAATTTCAAATTTTATCATCATCCATGCGAGGAGGAACTAATCTAGATTGTTTTTGATCCTCTAAAAAAAAACTACAGGTATGAAGTGGCATAGCATCTTTTATGCTACTTGAAGCAGTCGTAGCAAAGATCGTTGTACAAATTGCTTACACTGTGAAAATTACTGTTGTTACGATCGCGAAAGTTAATACTTTTTAAATATGACCTAAGTCGTATTCGTTTTCTTATAAATATGACTACTTTTTAAATATGACCTAAGTCGCATTCGTTTTCTTATTTATAGTTTCAAACGGAAATCTTTTTTTTTTCTTTTTATTACGTACTCCATTATCAACTAAATAATGATTTTGTGTCGTGTTTTGTTTACATCGCATTACTTATTCCATCGGAACGAGCATTTTTTTCTTTTCTTTTTTTTTTTTTTTTTAACAAATTCACAGTACGTGTCGAGCAAAGGTCAACCGTGAAATAGCTAAACCAGAATTATGACCTTGAGAAAAAATGACTCGGGCGTGCTACCCTTATCTTTGTTTATATTGTTTTTAACATGCTTATAGCAAGTTTAAAAAGGTTCTCATAATGCGATACGAATCCAATGCGCGTTTTGATGTTCTTCCATTAGTAAATTGCAAATATTTGGACAGTTATTAGGAGGAAGATAAATATTGCCAAACAGTACAACTTCAATAAATTGATAAAACAAAAGAACATAGTTTACAGGCATGAAGTAGTACTGTTATATAATGGCATTTACGCGCTATATGAAATGAACGTATGTCACTAGATCGTAAGTTTCCAAGTAATCTACGTTTATCAATTATATGTGGTATTTTGTTATATTAAATAAAAGTTTATTTAAAATTCCGTTTGATCGGCAAACGAAATGCGGCTTAGGTCAGCGGGGCCCAAAATAGAGAAATTACTATTTTCTGAAAGGTTAGAAATTCACGTGAGACGAAATTGGCTCGTTTTACCTAATTAAACAAGTTGAACATATGCAAAAATATACGAAATATGCGAATATACATAAAATGTTCGCCGAGTGAACTTTTTGACTCATTCGTAGAAATATCAGTTCGCACGGGTGTCCACAAATTTATACATCCTGTTCATACCTACGTATTGTAAGTAATTTAAAGTATAACAAGCGCGAAGTGTGAACAACAATGATGATTTTATCTGTTTTCGAAGAAGACTGATCGTACATCGAACGATTGACACATATTGTATAAATAGAAGCTGCCGTCACACGTTTCACAAAAATATATAGCTGGTAGTATTAAGAGGCGTATGGAAATGAGTTTGTCTTGATCTCGAGGCGGTTGTTGTTTAGCGAACAAATTCTTACGAAACTCGTGCCTAGTTTGAACACTAGATTCATACTATATCATCTTTTTCCTCCTTTCCTACTCTGCTTTGCTTTAAACGATCAAGCAAAAACTAATATAAATATTTTTTTCTTCTCTTCTTTTTTTTTTTTTTTAATGTACTTTCGGTATAAACATCAACTGTGGAATGACATGTTCCACGATACCAGTAGCATTGTATACTAATTTTGATCGTCGTGTCGAAACGAAAAGATTGCAAACAGCACTTCTTGAACTTGATTTGAATTTTATAATTATAAATGACATAATTAAATATATATTTCAAGGCTGTGATGTGTCTAAAAAAAAAAGTAGTATGTTATTCCAGGCTTCGGAGTTACATATCTTTTTTGGTGCATAGGAGAACTGTTTTAATATCGCGATTAACTTTGACTTAATTATCGAGGCATCATACCTATTGAGCTAGAAACAATGCCCACACAACTGTGGGTGTCTAACAAGCAGGAGAGAGCGAAAGTATCAGAGAATCGTCGCCCTGGTTTTAGTTAGAACCGTGTTTCTTTAAAAGAAAGTTCTTCGACAGTATTATCTCGTTCGATACGCGAGAACATTTCGCGAAGAACCATAGTTATAGAAACTTCGGAATAATTGAGAACTCGAGGAATCGGTTAATATATATATAGCCATTTGGCAATGGATGCGGAAACTAAGTAAAGAATAAGCACTGATGATGATAATAATATTTACATTTTTCATAAAGACAAGCAGAATAAAAAAGAAACAACAACGTAATTAGTATCTTCAGCTAGCTACATAAGTAAGTTATATAAAGTAAAAACGAATGACAATGAAAACGAAAGGAACGAATGTGGAAATTTTTGTTGACGATTTTTTTTTAAACGATAATTTTTTTTCTTTTTATAGCGTGTTTAATTCGATTTCAGATGAACCACGTTCAAGGTGTAGATCATGGGATGACGTAGGACCGACTAAAATGGAAACTGTCGGTCAAACGCACAGACATCATCCATCCTTAGAGGCAACTAGGTCCAATACCTCGACACAGTCGGCTAGAAGCGAAGACTCTTGGTGCTCAGCCTCGGATCATGACCTCTCCTCGGATGACGAGAGTGAGAAGAGTAATATCAGTATTAAGTAAGCACTAATTACATTGAATAAATCCAAATAGTTTGTAGAATGAAAAAAAATTGCGGAACTTGGATGAAACGAGGAAATCTAACGACATCCAAAAAGATATAATTTCCCACGATGCGTAATTTTAATTTTCTACGAAACTCAAGTATTTTCTTTCAAAGGAAACTTCGCGCTTTTTAAAAGAATTAGATTAAGAGAGGAAAACTCAACGGTTTGAATCAGTTCGTCGGTACAATTGTTGTTGGTTCAGAGAATCAATTATTGTTTGTTCCCATATTGACATCTTCCCGAGGATACATATAATTAATCGAAACGATTATTAATTCTCCATAGAAGTAATTGCCAATTGAGAAATACGTTACACAAGGCAAGGACGCTGTGCGATAAGTGGAGGCCGCAAAATATGCGAGTGAACAATGCCGATCCATTGGACTCGCCTGGTAACCATGGAAGACTATCTAGATGGTTTAGCATCCGGAGAGGATCGACGCAACAATATGACGTGGATTCCTCCGACACGGTGTCCCTTACCAGCCCCATCAAAACTCCTCAAATGCCGCAACTTTGTGAAGTAATTGTCCAAAAGATTCTATTTCTATTCATTCCTCTTCCATAAAGACTTATTGGTTCACTTCAATGGTGAAAATAATTACTGCTTTTTTATTTCTGTAGATCTAATTTCTAGTCTATTAACAAATTTGTAAAAACTTTTACAGACGGTACAAGATAAAATTTTGTAAAAAGGGCTATTGAGTAAATACTATGAAGATAAGTTAACGCAGATTTACTGAGATACACGTGTTTCAGGTTGAAGAGGAAAACAGTGCAATGGTGCAATTTCAGTGCATGCAGCAACGCAGACAGACCCCACCTGCCCTTCCTCCGACACCTCCGAATTTAACTCCTCAACAGTTAAAACGTCGACACATAGTAGCAGCTATAGTACATTCTGAAAACAGTTATGTGTCCACATTACAGAGGCTAGTGAATGTACGTACACATTAGTTTAAACCGCTCTGCACAAGATTCGTTCGGAGAACTTCATGTAGAAATATCTTCTTTAGGATTACAAGAAACCGTTAGAAGAATCTTCGCCGCCTATATTGAGTCAGGCAAAAATAGCGACATTGTTTCACAGATTGCCTGAAATTTTGCAATGCCACACGTTATTCAGAATTGCATTAGCGGAATGTGTACGTTCATGGGACAAGGACGAGAAGTTAGGAGACGTGTTTGTAGCAAGTTTCAGCAAAGCTATTGTTCTTGATATTTACAGTGGGTTTATAAATAATTTTTCAGTAGCTATGGACTTGGCTAAACAAGAATCAAAAAGAAAGACTGCGCTCGCCGATTTTTTCAAGGTATGTATAATGTGTAGTAATAATAATACAAGCGACTGTATCATCATAAAGTAATTTAAAATACGATTGTATCTCAGGTGAAACAAATAAGTGCACACGATAGATTGTCCTTCTTTGGATTAATGGTGAAACCTGTGCAAAGGTTTCCACAGTTTATATTATTCTTACAGGTAAGCGCAGTATTGTTTTACTTTTGTTTTCAGTGATTATGTCGCAGTGTAATAACACAAACTTTTGATTAGGATTTACTGAAGCATACGCCACAGGGTCATCATGACAGAATGTCGTTGCAATTGGCATTGACTCAATTAGAGAGTTTAGCGGAAATGCTTAATGAAAGGAAACGCGAAGCGGAACAATTCCAAGCGTTTAAAGAAATGCTTCGGCATGTATCTGGAAAATTGTCTCATCGTCCTCTTTCTTCTTCATCTAGGTACCTCATAAGAGAAGATAACGTTACGCAGTTGGTAAATATATATATGCGTCTCTAACAAAATATTCAAATATCCCAATATAACTCGTTATTTTATATATTATATATTATGATAAATCGCTTTAGGAATTTAATCAAAACGGTATGATAACAAAGTCTAAAAGAAGGAGGTTACTATTGTTGAATGATCTTGTGGTGTGCGTTTCGGTAACTCCGAGATCCGCAGAGGACTTTAGCGGTAGTGAAAGACTGACTTTGAAGTGGACATATCCCGTATCAGATATTGAGGTATAACAACATTCTTTATACAACTTATAGTGATTAATGACGCTAATGATAGCAATATTAAAATTATATCGCTGATAACAGTAATATCAATAACACCATGTTGCACTATAGATTCAGGATACAAGCACTTCGCCAACATTAAGTCGTTTACTGACTGCCGGTCTAAATAAAGGCGGGAGCCTAAAATCCGATAAGAGTGGAGATTGCGGACAAGTGGGTGCAGATAACCTCTGCGTAGAAATGAACGATTTAATGCATGATTACGAAGTCATGTCTAGGATAAGCGACTTGGTTGCACAATTAAAGGGTAAATACGAGGTAGGCGAAAAACGAATTACAATCGTCTTGATTTTTATACGTGTATAAATATATAATAATTATAATAAATAAATATATTTTGGATTTCTTAGGGAATGACGCTTGAGAAAACTAAACAAATTTTGCAATCCATACAACTCTCCATACAACAGAAGGATGAGGATATGGTTTGGGCAGATAGTTGTTGTTTGCAATTAGTAACGAAACAAGGACAGATGTACACGTTCCAAACGGAAAATCCATTAGTGAAGAAAGACTGGATAACGGAGCTTAGACTGGCACAGCTAGCTTTAGATCCGAATAATTCGCCATCTTGGGAAGTACCTGAACAAGAACAGCGGCCATCTACGAAAATGCCGCTCTTCGTCAGTTCTCAACAAGTGTATCATTCGCAACATCAGACAGAAGTGAGATTTTTACCATGATGGAGCGATGATTATTATTTTTTTCTTTTAATTATGTCTAAGTTTCGTACATGTTTATATATAATAAAATCAAATGCGTTTTAGGTACGTTGCGGCTGCTACTATACCACGCAAAACCCACGTCCCACGAGGCGCCGTGGAAGAAGTCAAAGTTATTTGTGGATATGTACTGGCGACGGTATATCCAGTCATGTGACAGTATTTGGTCAATCAACGACAGCCTCGGCCACCTCCTTAAAGCAAGTCACGACTTTTGATCTAGTGGAAACGAAAGTCGCGGCCATAGAGTTCGTGAAGGGTGTGTCCTCTGATCCACTTTCGCTGGCGAGCGACCTCGTGTGGATGGGCACGGACTCTCGCAAGATCATGATCTATGCCGGCTCGGAACCCGAGAAGCAAGAAGAACTCGGAAGTTATTCCGTTTCAGGTCCAGTCATACAAATCAAGTATCATTGCGACAATGTTTTCGTCGCCCTGGGAATTGGCTTGCTCCTCCTCTTCAAAAGGCAAGTGGACGGCACTTGGAATCTCAGAGATCCGTTCGTGATATCCCTAGGTAGTGAACCGGTGTCTTGCTTGATGCCGATCAACGCCTCTGTTTACGCTGCCTGCGGCAAAAAGGTTTGGGTACTTAACGCAGTCAGCGGCGACGTGATGAAAAGCTTCAGCGCTCAGCACGAACACGTCGGCAGTGTGAAGCTCATGGCTCATTCCGGAGTCGGTCTCTGGGTCGCCCTCAAGAACTCCAGCACCGTCTGCCTGTATCACACTGAGACGTTCAAACACTTGCAGGACATTAACATAGCATCCAACGTGTTGAGAGTGACGAGGTCGAATAGCTCCAATTCTTGTGGCGATAACTTGAACAACAATCAAACGGCGGTCACCGTGACAGCGCTTCTGGCGTGCAAGGGTCTGCTCTGGGTTGGTACAAACGTGGGCATCAGTCTAACGATTCCTCTGCCACGACTGGAAGGCGTGCCTATTATCAGTGGCCGTGTCAATATTTCGTATCACGCGCATTTCGGTCCTATTACCTTCTTGCTTGCTATTCAGAACCCGAAAAACACGATAAACTGTGCGACCGACGAAATCGCCGACGAAGAAACTGTGCAGTTACGATCGAAGGAATCCGACAACAGTCGAAACAGGGATCGAGCAAGTTTGGATTCCTCCATGTCAAATAGCATACTGAAGTTGAAGCAGCAATTGGCGAGTAGCCCGGTGATGTTAAGACGGAAACGTAGCAAGGAGTACGAGTACAGAGGCTCTAAAACACTGCCCAGGGGACTCGGCTCCGGCGGAGGATTTCTGTCGAGCTCGATGTCCGGATCGCAGAGCTCCGGTGAGAATTGCGACGTTTACGGCTTGTACGGGGAATTGATGTACGTGAAAGACTACGAGAATGAGAACAGCTCAGGCATCGATTTGATTTACGAGCCATTGCGAAGAAGCGATCCGGAACTAGCAGCCATACCAAATAAAGTTAGCACGTTAGATCGTAGACTGAAGATGAAGATCACTAGGCCCAGGTCGCTCGATTTGTCAAATTGGTCGGTCGATTCTCACGCGAGTTCTCTCTACACGTCTTCTGGTTCTGAGGAGAACCTCTCATTGAAAACTGGCAAACTGTCACGAAACAGTAGCACAGCTAGTCGAAATGGCCCCTACGAAACAACCACTCCTAATAGCAGTATAGGACAGTCTGTACCAGAACCGATACCACCGACCAATAATTTAAAGACGACCGGTAAGAAGATCAACAAGACGTTGCAACAGATCGAGCAGCCCAAACGAACCGTTTTGACGTTAATGGGTGGCAGAGGTTACATCAATTGGAGACAGCTAAACGCGCAATCAGTTACCGACAAGGGCTCTAAATCGGGCTACACGTTCAAAGATCCTAATAGCAACGATGCTCATATCGTGCTGTGGGAAATGAAGTTATGATACTCAGTTACACTAGGCCTGTCGTTACGTCAGCTACGGATAGAAATGTTTTAAAGAAAATGCTTTTAATAGCCGATAGTGAGCTTTTGTAGTATCGGCAAATAGGACCAAAAAATGAAGGAAAAAGGAAAAAAGAGATCAGAAAACTATTGTCGAACTGATATTCACTTAATCAGTAAGAATAATTTGATAAGGATTTGTTAATTAATTAGCGTAATTTTTAAGTTCAGCCGCAGCGATTGTTCGACATGAATGCCATCTTGGAACTACAATTAAAAACGAAGATTTCTCGATTGTCCTTATCGTTTACAATGCAAAGATGTATAGTCTTTTCGCGTAGCTCTCTAAAAGAATAAAAAGAAAAAGAAAGCAGAAATTTCATATTTCACTGTACGACGCTTTCATCCTTCAACACGATCAAGATGTTCTATTTCTTTCTTTCAGGCTGAATTTGTTTCGTGTACATTCGTATACGTTTGTATATTGTTTTTTTTCTTCAGTTTAGAAAACTAAAAAAGAAAGGACAAAAAGTATTGAGAATACATGCGTAACTAGAAAGACCAAAACTCGCAATTAAATATTGATTTCTGGAAATGCTGGTGTACGAGAGTGTACGCATTGTTAGAAGAAAGGATTAAATCTTGAACATACGTTTTAATGGACATGATTTGTTATTTTTGTAATTATGTTACGAGAACTGTTTGAAACAGTGGTATTCTCAAAAATAACGATAATCATTCAATGAATTATGAAATTCAAAATTATTAATGAATTAATTGAAAATCTTAATTGCTTAACGTGGCAGATGAAAATGAATGCGACAGCGATTTTTGAATACCGCTAATTTGAAATTCCAATTTTTCGAGTTTTCGTTACTCGATAAAAATCGTGTGATGCGCACATGAATTTGTAAGATACATGAATATAAAACATTGTCTTACTCTTTATAAGCAGGACGCTTCGCATCGTGAGGGAAGACGATAGACTTTTAAGTGTTTCTCGTTGCTTTCATTTTGAGTCTTGTAAATGAAAGTTCGAAAAGGCCCTAATTTTTGTAAAGAGGGAAATAACACACAGTAGCATCTGTGATTTATTCTTTTTTTTTTTTTCTTTTTGATGCATTAATTGTGCTTAACATACGAAGAATCTCTGATAAATGAACATTTTCTTTAAACTTTATCTTGCATTGATAAAATTAGAAGAAAAAAAAAGAAAAAAAGAATAGAAATATCGCGAAAGGGAAAGAATAGAATTAAAATGCTCAGATAACCAAATTCATTGAACACGTTTAGTTTTTTTGCTGGAATAAAAGTGAAAAATTTTGAAATTTGGTTTCGATACTTTAAAAAAAAAAAGGAGAAAAAGAAAAAAATGAATATCGAATATCAAATTGGTTGCTCTTTACTAAATGATGTTGCAGATCATTCGGTAACATTTAATGGCATTTTTTGAGAGTGCGTAAGGTATATTTTATATCTTTTATAAATGTTAGTACGTTGAACATTTTTGATATATATTTTACTGCCAAACGCGATAGATATTTCTCGAGAGAATAAGGGGAAAAAAATGGTAGATAAGAGAAAGAATGCGCAAAACAAGAGATCTCTGATGATCGATGACATATAATATGTTGTCCGTTCTCTATTTGTGATATGATTGACTAGAGAAAAAAGATTAGAAAAATGAAAAATAAAAAACACAAAAAAAAAATAAGATTTATGTCAGTTACCCAGTGAGAGAAGTATATCATAGTTTTGTCGCAAATGTGCTGTTGAGTTTCTTCGCTACCAGCATGGACGAACGAGTCTGCGTGTACATATACATATTTTCCGAGAAAATTAATTTTTATATTACAAATGAATCCTGGATAGATTTATATTTTGTACACTACTTTTTTTCTGTTTAGGTTTATAGAGATATATACATAATGTAATCTTATTTTGTATTTATACGAACGATACATACACACGGAATTTATTCAGCAATACTTTGTTTTACCACACGGTACACGCACACGTTATACACCACGTACATTGCGCGCACATATATTTATTACTTAAAACAAAAAAAGTCTCAACGTTGTATTATTGTTATGTACGAAACTTAAAAATTTTGTTACGTTAGTGTTCGAAAAGGCTATTCGATTCAATGATTTTCACCATTTGTATTTGTATATTGCTGGATATTATAATTATTTAAAAAACAGATGTAAAATTTTTTATTCCCTTCACTTTCTATTTTCTTTTTAAATTATTATTATTAAGACAACCACAATTTCATAAGTAACAATAATTTGAAAATTGTTGAATTCACACCACCATAAAGTACGCGAGGTTTAAGATGCAGAATTGTACGTAACTGTAGTTTTCAGATGTATAGTTTATTCTTTGTACAATAGTGCGATATGTTTATATTATAATATGGCGCACAAATAACTTGCTATTTCTGCGTACGATTCTATTGATATCGCGTCGTACATTTTTCGATACAGAAAACAGAATTTGCACATTTTTTTTTTAATTCTGGCGTTAATAACTTTCATTGATACCTACTACGATATGCGTGGATAAGTACGATATGTGTGACTATACAATATGAAATATTAAGTATTATGTTTCACTACTTTTAATTTCAATTAATTGTTTTTTTCTTTTTCATGAATTTCTTTACGTACAATGAATCTTCTACAATACAGCTTTGTTGTAAATAATTCGTTAAAAATTTTCTTCTTACACATCAGAATATAATGTATATTGTTACAGTATACAAATAATCATCATTGAAACAGTTCTCCGGTAACAAAAGCTTCTCTGTCGTGTTTCTTTAACATGAATTTAATATTTCGAAGAAAATACTTAATAAAAGCATTGTAGAACTCTACATTTACAGCAGCATTTATTTTTAATTTTCTTCAGTTCACTACTTAATTTAAATGTATGTATGTATATATATATTTATTTATTATACACGACAGAAAATTCATTTTTGTTCGAGACTGTGTGTATGTATATAATAAACTACTAAGGATTCTTTTTACTCTGGTATGGTGCTCTATTAACTCTACATTATACCTATTAACCATTTAATTACAATCATCTTGTCTTTGCTCACACATATATCGTGATAGTAGAGCAGAAAATGAATTTATCTATATTGTCCTAATACAGAAATACAAGCTTTAATAACAATTACTTAATTGTCACTTAATTATCACTATAGTGATATTTTCTTTCAGATTAAAAATGGGTGCTCTCTCTTGACTGCAACTTCGAAACGTGGATTTGATTACATAAACTCTCAAGAATTACAATTTGCAATATTAATTTTACCTTCTCTGTCATCTTTTTAAAGTACCAAAGTATAAAGTACAGCAGAAAGAATGCACACAAACAGAATACAAGTTATATTTTATATTCAGTTTGTGATAATATGAAAGAGTCCCCACGCGTTGTTTGCTGTTTATTTAACATCTTAATTAACTCATTATAATTTATTCGTTTCTCCATCTTCAAACGTATTTCAATACTCAATTATACGCTTAAATCTTACATATTTCATTTCATTTAAAAGTATATCAAAATCGAAAGGCGCAAATCGACAGTGTTTGGTAACGAATCAAACGCACTGTAATCCTTAGCATTAAAATACGAATTGTCTCTCATTGTAAAAAGCATGATTGATCTGCCGCGTCATACGAAGTGCATGTACGGATTTCCTGTGTCCGTTTCAAATCTTTCTTCTTTTTTTTCTTTTCATTAAGAGTATTGGCTATCGCGATAACTGCAACTGTATCGTTCTATTACATGTATTTATAAAATACTTATATATACATATACGTACACGTATGTAATGCAGATAACATAATAGATAATACCTGCCCGAGCTGCCTCTATTCTGTCGCACACTTAAATATTTGGTGCTGTCTTTAACTTAAAATATATTTGATTTATGGGGAAGTTAAAACTCCTCCTTACAGACGGTGGATGAAAATTATGAATATTCACTTGATTCAAAACAAATAGAAAAAAAGATATGGTTACCAATTAAGAGTTACTAGGAAACACATAATACTGCTAGAAACTTGTTTTTACCCAGTTCAATGAATTTTCAATATTACTATTTTCTTTGTTTCTTTTTTTTCATTCATTCATTTCAGTAATATTGAAAACATCATTAGAAACTTATGACGCGTACATACATATGTCAGCTCTCACATTGCATACATGCTTGGTAAATGGTATGATAATTTAAATATGATTACCCTCAATATGACGACGTATACCTTTCCTCTTATTAAATAAAAGTAAAACGTAATAAAAATACTGAAATATTTATACAGATTATTGTAACAATCCATACCAGCCTTGTAATTTGTTCAATTTACACATATCGTTTGAAATTAATTTTATAATTTTATTAAATTTACATATTAACAAAGGATAGATATTATTTCAATTTAATGATTTTCTTCGTTTAAATTAATCGCTATTATTGTTATTATTAATATTAATATAGAACTAAACTATCTATGTAAATAAACATCTATATATCTTTGTCCCACAATCAGACAAGATAAATAATTAAAAATATCCTTTATAATTAAATCAAATACAATATATCAGTTTTGGAAGAATTATACTTTTCGTTTTCTTTCATCTATTGGAAATAAAAATATTTATAATTCAAATAATTGTACTTGCAAAATAAAAATTACTAGAGGTAGCATTTGTATGTTTTATAATAGAAAAACATTTGCACTTTTATTAACAGAGGAAGACTTTGGGATAATGTGTATAAAAATCACAAAAATGATATATATAAAAATTAACAATAATTTAGTCATTAAATTATGGTTATACGGTGGAAAATTGCATGATTGTGTAATTTATCATTATTTCAAAATATCTTTAAATCAATAACGAAAATTTTCAAAATTTATACTTATCGATAGTGTGCCCAAGCATGCGGTTTTTTTTTATAAATGCTACTTTTTTCCAGAACACAAAAAAGTAGTTTTGTGCGTGTATGTAATCACAAAATATATTGCCTAAAACAATTTTTGGCCAAATTTTATTGCAAAGTATTATATATGAAAATATAAATAATATTATACCAAAATATTGGTAAACGCCTTGATAATATAAATCATTTGATTAAAGCAAATATCACTTTTAATAATAGTAAGAAAAAATAAATGCAAGCAAGTAATAAATTACTAGCATCTAATATATACACATATGTATGTATATGTACATACGCTATATATAGGAAATAAACATAATAAATAGTAACTAAGTCAAAACTGCCATTTTTATATAAAAATAAAAATAATGGTTTTCTTTTACCCGTAATTTGACTAAAGATCAGGCAGTGTCTGATTTTATGATCATATTAATTACTCATAAATTTTTTAACTTTTTATTACGGAAATCTTTGCCTAAGTCTTTACAAATAAAGAAATATAAAATTTTATTTAAGTACTTCGGTACTGTTTACTATTTCCGAACGATAAAAATCATTTTCAGTTAACCAAATGATTTTTTTTTTTTTGTGTTAACCAATAGTGTAATTGATACAGGCATAATAAAAATTGAATTATTATCAGAAATTGTAAATAACTGGACGAAATTAAAACTTCAAAATCATTTTAATGATTGAATGAAGTGAATTTACTTTAAATAAACAAAACTGATTGCGACTTTGTTATAGTGTTTCATAAGTAAAAATAACGCAGCATTAATGCTACCATTGTAATAATGGTATAAAAAATGAATTAACAAATTAAAAAAGAAAGTGTAAATATACTACATAAAAAATATTTGTAATTATACAATATAATGTAATGTTGTAATAAACTAAATGGAGCAATGGTCCCGAAATTGTTACTATGTGAAATTGGAAATTGGTAACCCACGAACGAATTAATCAAGTCTCGGTCATTTACGAACCTTATTTTCGTTGATAAGATGTTTCGTACATCCTATATCAATGATAATGTGATAATTATGTCCAATACATGCTGGTGTAACAGGTAGACTATATATAAAAACCATTCACTCTTATACATGTGTACGTTTTTCTCCACAAATGTATCAAATGGTGAGGACAGAAAAAGAAGAAATTAATCACCTAGAGAACAACGTCGGGCAGGGAGCAATGCCACTAGGCTAATTGCGTCCCACTTCGTCCACCATGATGTCCCATACCAATCATAGAACCGCCACCGCCACCGCCGATATCATCGCGAACGATTTTTCTTTCTTTATAGTAAATTTCTTCGCTTTCCTTATCGCATAGTAACAACACTGCTCCACCGAACAAAAATATAGCTGCACCCCAACCCACTCCATATGCCCAACCAAATTCCCACATGGGTCGGTTTCCTATTATATGAAGCGTTTAAAAAAATAGAATTGTTTGTTTGGAACAAAGTTGAAATTTAAAATATACTTTAGAGATATACAAACTTACCAAAGTTAAGTTCCGCGGCAAAACACACTGGATATATTACTAAAGCTATTAGGAGTGATACCACTAAAAGACAAAAGAAATGCACATGTATTTTATGACAATATGTTTGCATAAATGTACATACATTGTTGTCTTAAGTAATGAATCTTACATGCAAATCCCATGCAGAAAACTGCAAATCTATAATATTTGTGTTTGTCACGATTATCTTGTGACCTCAAACCAAGACCAGTCAGAATTGTTGCTGCAATATCTGTTATTAGGCATACGACACATAAGGCAGCAGCTGCTTTTATATAAGCTGCAAAGAAAAAAAATGTAAATTAAAACTTTCTGCTTAAAAAGCTACATTAAAACTCCATTAAATCTTCATTAAAAGCAATTATTCTTTTTTTAACATACCAACGTCTCTAGCTTGAAAACAGCCTGCTGAATCTGGTACATTAAATGGTAAGGGTGTAGGTGCTGCTTCTTCAATGCAATGTGCAAATAAACCTTGTCTCCATCCTAATGCCATTAACCAGTCTGTAGAGGCTAAGCCCATTATCATCAATAATATTACTATTATTCCACATATAAATGCTATCACCTGTAACATAAATACACAGTTAACATGAATAACATAAATACAAAATTCCATTCTCATTATTAACTACAGTTTAATTTGGAAAATTATATTTTCATTACAAACTTCATTACAGACATCATTTTAATTTCTATAAACTATAAATGTTTTATTAATTGAACAGATGTTATCTGAGCTTCTTGAAAACCAAATGTAATCAATTGTACAATTTCTCACAGAACAAATGATAGAAGACTTTTATATGTTTACTTACTACTAAAGAAATAAATAATTTCAATACAAATGTTGGGAAATTCAACAACTTTTAAATGATTCAATTATCTCCTCTGTATTTAAACAGCAATTATTAAATATAATATACAGGAATTTATTCAAGTGAAAGTTATGCATAATGACTCATAAGAGTATTTGGATTATGTTAATGAAATTTCAAAATGTTTCACATAACACACGCAATACAGTCATAAAAGATTCTTGCATACTTAAATAGTTTAGTGAACTATTGTACACAAACAGTTGATCATTGCGCAAAACGTTCATTACCACCTTTACAGATCCACATAAAAAAGAAACATATCCAGGATGTACCTGTGCGATTTCAGTATCGCCCATGTGATCTTCCGCGACTGTATACATGATCATCGTAGATCGTAGCGTACACTGTTAAGATATCCCAGCGGACAAAGCCGAGAAACCTAGTACCTAATTAAAGGGCTCTCGAACTCTTCACACTTCCTTTGGTTTCTTCAACAAATACCATTTACGGGACATCGTACAATCTTCCGAGCATCACCCTCAATAGACGCCGAGGAAACATTTATAAACAATTCAAGAACATGGAACTGTTCCAAACGACGAACACCTCCAGGGTAAACACAGCTCGTGTTTCCCGTATACGTACGTATTTTTGTTCGATACAAATAATTTTTTTAATCAAGTTCCCGCTTCGAACGTCACGCAATTTATCGAATTATACTTCGCTGATTTATTCACCAAACCATGTATCGGTTTATTCACTGAAGAAAAGTTGAGAAAATATCGTTCAGCTAGGAGAATCAAGCGGAGACGGTTTCCATCCGAAGTTAAGGGAGTAATTGGGTTCCAGGGAAGCTGCGCCCATTAAAGGTCGTGGCGCAGTGCGCGTACGTGATAGAGGGTGCTTTTTAGTATCGAGTATAGACGAAACTTGAGACGCACGCTTCCATTTATAGGAATTTTCTAATCATACGATTATACAAATAATACAATTGTCTCAATTAAATGTCGATGCATTGACATTTTGGTTTAACATTATTATTACTGTACATACATTTTATAACAATGAAATTATAGTCGCAGTAGGAGTAATCGTTTAGTTAATATTGATTTCATTTTCAATCAAATTCCGTTCAGGATATTTATTTTAATAATATTTACTGCTTTGTAACAATATGCTAGTGATTATGTGTGGTTTGGGACTTTGTAACATAATTTCATGTAATGAAATAATAAAATGAAAAATAAATAGAATGTTTGAAACTTACCTTGAAGGGTCTAGTAATAGTGATTGTTTCAATGGTGGTTGTTTGTGCCATTCTGTTTATGTCTGTGAATATATCTGAAAATAAAATAGATACATAATAACAAACGAAAATAAAAATGCTAATATTGATGAAATAAAATCATGATTAATGTAATTAAATGAAAATAATAATTTTATAAAAAGAAATTGATAATCATTGATGATGATGATCATGTTAGTTTATATAGGCAAAGTACAGGTTATTTTGTTTATTTAGTTTGTATTTATTTTTTACAAATAATAAATTTGTACAAATAGAAAGATTGCTTTATAAGATCATTTTGTACAATATTACTTAATACTTTTATAAGTTTTGAGATTTCATCAAATAATGCTATTACATGAGATATGATATTTCAATCATTATGAACTTCTTAACGTTTAACAATGCAACACGAACCAAATAAACAAATAAACATTATGATTCCTATAAATTTCAGAAATAGAAAATATATATTGAGCAAATTTAATCACATGAGATATACATTATCGGATTGTTTATAGCTAGCACACTTCAAAACCTTATAACAGTCAACTATTTGCCGTTATAGAAGCTGCATAATTTCTTAATAAACTTGTAAGAAACTCAATGCCATAAATCAAGACAGAACTTTTAACTACCTTCCTTGTAGCAACTAAAAGATAAATATTTTATTTGAAGCCTTCAGAAATTCATATTGTGATGAAAATTTTAAACATTTTCCCATTGCTAACATTTGGATAATTAATAATTTTTCAACTTTAAGCTTCGTATCTTTTAAAAATAATTATCTAAAAAGATGTGATTCTCTCAATTGAGTCACTTTTCTGAGCAATAGACGATGTAATCAAGATTTATAACATTTTATCAGAACGTCACGAATAGTGAACGTATCATTAGAATATCGAGTGAAAAACAATTTCTCGTCTTAACAAAATAAAACACTTACAAAAAATGCTTAATATATTCACTTTATACGGTTATCAATGTTTAAGCACACATCGAGTACGTAATAACATGAACAAATTTTAGTATCTCTAAAAAAAATCGTGTAGAAATGTAAAACCCGAATCATACAAAGAATAAAAGGAATAATGCAATTTGACTTTAGGGGTTATGTCACTAGAAATGTCAACACAGCTTCAACAATACGTATGCTATATACTCGCGTACTGCTGACATATATGTACACATCGAAGAAACACAGTAAAACTCAATGAATTAATCACTTAGAATGCACGTAAAGGACGGACACTCTTATTGGCCCTCTTTGTGTATAGTTTGTAAGCTCGACACTAATTGGCATTTTCATCCATTTTCTTATTCAATTCACTCTATTCTCGAATATATTTTGGCCAATAGGAAAAGTGATTTCAAAGTAGAATGGAAGGAGAATAGGAAAAGTGATTTCAAAGATGAAATTTTTATATTTATTCTTTTTATTCTAAATTCTATATATATAAAAATATGTTGCTTCGTGGCAATAGAATTTTGTTGTTTTCGTAATTACATTTCTTAGATGGCAATCAGCTATTGTTTTATTGATTTCATTCGAATCTGAATAAATAAATATAGAGACAATTTCCTTTATAAGTTACTTTTGTCAATAATCAGAAACAACACAATGAATTTTCTTTCAATCATTACATGTATACATATATGTTATATATATAATCTAAAAGAAAATATCAAATAATAATATTTTATATTTACGTTTAACAATAATATAATAACAATAATTATATATATAAACTGCAAATTAACAATGAATTTATAAAACTCACAACACTTACAAGAAAATTTCGAATTATAGTATAAATCCAAGACATTGTATTAACTACAAAAATATAATATAGTATTTAGTAATGTATATCTTTATATATGTTATATACGTTAACGAATAAATAAAAATAATATCTATAAATATGAATTATTATATTATAATGTTTATTTACTTACTATATTAGTCTATTTGTCTGCTAAATAAAGACTTTAAATAATTTAAGAAAGAAAATTACAAAACATTCACAATAAAAATCAGTTGAGTACGTAAAACAGATGTGCATCTTTCTAAATATGTCGATGACGTCACTGAATGACGTCAGCACCATACATCTTTCTTTAAACCAACACAAACATATTTATATAATATACATATATGAGTACACATCTAAAGATGTCATCTGATATTTCAAATATTAATACGTATTAATTATTGCAGTTTAAAAAGTGAGTCAATTAAAATTATAAAAAAAATTATGATTCAGAAAATTATGATTCTTCAAATTAATCTTTTCTTGATAAGAAAATTCTCAATGTACGTATATATTGTTGTAATTATTGTAAAAATGTTTTTTCATTACGATATAAATAGATATAAAGATTAAAAATAAACAAAAATTTAAATGACGAATGATCGAAACACGTATGAAAATTGTTGATAGTCTTAAAATCACCTCCAATTAAATTTAGTTGATTCACGAAATTGTATTTGTTTTTCACGCGATTATATTTTATATCTCAATTACAATATCCTGTTATTGAACTAATGATTAAAAAATAGATTTTACGACTGAATAACAATATTTACCCAGATTATATTAGAAAACCGTATAACAATTGTAAATTATACTATCATAATTATACAATAATAATAATTATTATATTACAATATATATTATATAATTATAATAATATGTAAAACTTGTTACATATAACTCTATATACACATATACAAATAATATTTTTCAAATTCACAATACGTACATCACATTATATACTATCTTCATGTTCCTACATAATATTGCATACCACGTTTCCATGTATTTTATGTATATTACATACATACATATATATATATATATAAACCTAAATTTATATATATGTATATATACACAATTAGCTAAATTTTAACAAAATTTTCATATCCATTTCACCAAACATCTTTATCAATCATTTGTAGATCAAAAAATAATCTACAATATGTCTTTTTATTATTATCAAATTGGAAAACAAATTAAGTAATTCATTCTATTTTTTACTATAGATAGGATATGATTCATTAATACAAATCATTATTTTCGATAAAATGGGCAAATATTTAAGTATTAACAATTGTAACAAAAAAATTAATTGCAGTAAATACATCTGCGAAATCATTGCAATCATTTATGTAAGTATGAAAATCACAAATAAAAAGCTTAAACCAGACCTCCTGTTGTTTACAAAACAATTTTAAAATTTAATTTTCCATTTGATTTCACGAATAAATGTATATTTTTTTCATTTAAATATTTAGAAAATATTACTAACATTACACACTTATGTAACTAATAGCGATTAAGTTAAACTAATATAACTAGTTAATGTTATTCGTTTCTTGCAAAATAGATTTAATCATCAATTTTCAAAAGACATATATGTACATATGCATGTAGATATATATCCTCGAATCTATAAGGTTATTTCTTTCTTTTTTTTTTTTTTTTTTTATTAAAGGTGTATAAATTATTTCATATTAAAATTTTTTTTTTCTTTTAACCAATATGTGATATAAAGATCAGAAAATTAACAAAGACGGACTTATCATTCCTTTTCCATGTAGTCTTCATACATAAATGCCACAGATGTTGACAGTATATTGGAGGGAATGTTTAAGAAAATGCGGTTAACATTTGGTTGTGAAGCGCATAGTAGAGTATCGGTTCTATCACTATCCGATGTACGATCAGTTTCCGAAGAGGGAGGGGAAAACACGGTCGGCCATTTTGATGGTGACGCGCAGCGCGGAGGTCGTGGGCTCCACCAGTGACGAAGCCACTGGAGTTTTGACGTGGCTGCTACGTACCTGCCCGTTTGCCCACTCCGATTGCAGCAAAGTTGGTGACGAGAAATACGTAACTGGTAAGTACCCAGCTGGAGAATAATAACAACCGGGCATGGACCACTGCGCTTACGATACGTCGAAAATGTTGCCGAAAACACTAGCATTTAATTCTTCATGATCCCAGTACAATCAGTTTTACGTCTGCTGTGGAATATGCCGTAAAATATGGCGCCTTAAGGAAGATGTATGAATTTCTTGAAAAGGGCAATGGGGGTTACGTGACGATTTTGACATCTCTTTTCACCGATAACCGACACATCGTGATACCAATCGGTACAACCCTAGTCACATTTCACCGTGTTTTTTTCATTAATTTCCTGGCCTTTTCGATCATCCACAAATACATCTTTTTAAGTGTTTATTGTTCTCATATTATTTTTAGATCTGCTTATGTAAATGACGCAGTAACACCGCCGATTGCTGACTGGCGGGAAATTTAAAACTTTTACACTTTATTGGATAGAACCCGATTTCGAATTGAATTCAGATTTTCAAATTCCAATTGTTCTGACGATGTTTATGTTTAGTTCGGATCTCAAGTATGCATTTTTAAATACTTAAAAAAAAACTTTTTTAAAATAAAAAGTATACATTTTGTGCATAGTTTCATTTCTATTGAAACATTTAAAAAGATCACCAAAGGAATTAAATGTAATAAGATGTATATGATATTTATTCCTAATAATAAATTGTTTAAAGTTTAAATTTTTGTCATGTAACAAATGTATATATCAAAAGATAGGTTCAATTACAAATGATAAAAATTTAAAAAAGAAAGATTTAATTGTGGAATATATATAAATACAATTATGAAATATACATATAATTATGAAAATATTTTATCTTTTATCTTAGGGTTTGAAGTTCCCAGGCTATGGAAAGTATGGTTGAGGAAAATGGATCAGCTGTTGACCCATTATCTGCAGGTTCTCAAAGTGGTGATGCAGCACCAGCAATAGCTACATCGGTACAATCTCTCAATAGAACACAGCAGCAAACTCATCATCTGGTAGCTTCTACCAGCATTGTGCAACTGACACTACCTACGTCAGGGGCAACACAGGTATACAGGAGGATCTCCTGTGTATCTATGTCTGATCATTTATTTACTTGTTTTAATTCAAAGCATGCATATATAATTTATTTATGTTCTTAATTATAATTATTATTTAATTAAATAAGCACTGTGTGTATATTTACTCTTGCATAATGCTGGTTCCAATTAAGAAACTAAAATTTAAACTTAGTTTCATTATTTTTTGATATTGAATTTAATATTTCAAGTTTTATGATAAATATTATTTCATATCCAATTTATGATGACTCGCATATGCATGATGATATAAGTTAATTACAAAATTTATTTGTGATTCATGTTAAAAAACATTTTATAAATATTCATATCCATTTATTCAGTAATATCTTTTTGTTAATGTGTACCACAATTTATATAAAATGTTTTTGTTCCTTTAGGTACAATCTGTTATACAACCTAATCAACAATCAGTCATTCAGACTGCAACGAACATTCAACCTGTTGCTATTTCAAAAGGAAATGTCATACTTGTTAGTAAACCGAATTCTGTTATACAAACAGCTCAAGCAAGTTTACAAACACTACAGGTAAATATAGATTTTTATTTATAATCATCTCAAAATCAAACTATATTGTTGCTCTTCTTTTATATCTGTTATTTTCATTCCTTTATAAAATAAACCATTTAATTTTATATTTAGTAAATATAAAATTTAACTAATAGAATTTTATATTTACTAAGTATTATAATAAATAAAATAATAATAATAATATAATAAAATATATATTAATGTATCAGGTCGTTGAAACTGGTAGTGATGATAGTTTCTCAGATTCAGAAGAATCTCCAGAACAAAGAGGGGGAATTCTTACCAGACGGCCATCTTACAAGAAAATTCTCAATGATCTAGGTGGTGGTGAAATTACAGGTATGATAAATTTCGTTTTGTGTATATTATAATTAAACTTAAGGTCATTTATTTTATTAATATTTCAATAGAGTATCAATGCTAGAAATAACGAGTTGCTATATAATTTATTATTTCAATTAAATTTACATACAAAATTGTATAAAAGTATTATATTTATTTTATTATTTTAAATCTTCTATATTTTCAAAATATATTATTTCTTAGGAAATCATGAAGTGCATGTCAGTTCATACAATTATTGTTATGTACCGTTTACATAATATTTCTTAGATTATTATTTCAATTAACAATTGTTTTAGTAATTTAATTTTGAATTTGAATAGATAAATGTAAGATTAATCTGTTTTATAAATCACTTTATATCAAACAAATATTTAAATACATTTACATATACAACAACAAAAAATAAAAATATGATATTTTATATCCTTTAATATTTTACTTTATATATCTACAAAAGGAATGCCATACCAAGCTTAGAATGTAAGATGAATTATAATAAAATTTATCAATTATATATTTATTATATTAATCAGTAATATTATAACAAAAATAATAAATGAACTCTCCTCTAACCATTATTGCAGGAAATGAAATCCCACTTATATTTTTTTGATACCAATAAAATAAATTAAAAAATAATTTTTTTATAATTTTAGGTAAATACATAATTAATATAATTAGAAATATTTAGCATTCTAAATGTATTTTTCATATGTATTTAATCAGTTATAAATTTTATAACTAAGGTAAAAAATAATTATAATAATTAGAATTAAAAGTGATTAAAAATAAGTTACACTTGTCATTTTTAATAAAGTTTCATTTCTATTGTGTTCAATAAAAATTTTATACAAATAATTGATTGTTAAAAATTTATTTGCTCATTTTGTATTTTTCATGTTTTTATTGTTTCACACTTTGATTTTATCAATCTATTTCCTTTTTGTATGAGCTGACTGCACAGTATTAAGATAAAAATATAGAAACAGCAGCCAGAAAGGAAATAGCATTCAATGATATTTTACTTTTATTATATTTTTTAATTATACAAATATTATCTTTCTGGATGCAGATTTTTTTAAACACATGTACATTGCAATCAGGAAAGTTATTTAAGAAGAAATGTTAATACCATTGTTATCTACAAATGAATGTTATATTATTTTCTCATGAAATATAAATCACATACTGAGAATTTTTCAAAGTAATTTAGATTAAATAAATTAACACCGATAACAACTCTGTTATAATTGAGGGTTGTATTAATTCGGTGTTACAGACGGTCGATTGCCCCCTCTAGAATCATCTTCTGAGTGTGATTCTAACGTGGACAGTGAAGTGTCTTCCCATTCGCTTCATTATCAGACAGGTTGGTTATTTTTTCTTCTACATATCTTTCCTGGCTGTCGTTTATTTAAATCTGTGCGTAATCCCAACCTTTGTCCTTTTATTTCAATGGAAATAATGTTAGAGGAGTAAACTAGAATTCTTAGCATTTAAAATTTTATTCCTCTTTTCCTTGTAAATACTTGATATGATATTTTATATGATTACTTGGTGTGGCATTCTTACTTACGGGATTTTCGATTCTGTTCAAGAATAGGTTTCTCTACATACACTAAATAGTACACATAATCATTGAAGACCTATTAAGATTTATATTTCCTTTTTCTATGTTAAAATGACTGAAAGATTTTTAGTAATTTCTATTTAATAAACAGCTGTATTATATGAAGTATGTTCAGTTAGATATACATTGTTTTTATTAATAATGTAATAATTGAAATTAATATAATTTACAGTAATTCCTGCTGGCACCATTCAAATTGCCACTCAAGGAGAAGGTGTCCCTGGACTTCATACCTTAACTATGAGTAATGCAGCAACAGCAGGTGGAGCTATAGTACAGTATGCACAGGGTCAAGATACACAGTTTTTTGTCCCAGGTGCGCGTTTTTTTATAGTTTTTTAACATTGAATTTTTTAATAACTTAATATACCTTTAACATCTTTTTTTTTATTTTTGTTTAAATATATACCTACATACAATTTTTGTATTTAATAGGAGTACTCAAAATTTCGCGTATAAAAATCTCAGATTGCGATCAATTCTCCGTTAAAAATTTTTAGAATTCTTTAGAATTCCCTTAATATTTAATAATAATATTAATAATATATAATAATAATATTAATATAATATTATACACACACTCAGTATTTAGTAATAGCATTAATAATATATATTAAGTACATTGATTGTGAATAACAAAACTAAAAATTTGGGGAATACAGTCTCTGACAATGTTCCAGCTTACACAGGTCATGGTGTTGTAGTAGAAGATGCAGCTAGAAAAAGAGAATTAAGGTTGCTTAAAAATAGGTAAGATTTTGAATGAAATGAAAGTACTTACAATTATATTTTTCACAACTACTTTTATTTATAAAAACGTTTTACAGACAAGCAGCTCGCGAGTGTAGAAGGAAAAAGAAAGAATATATAAAGTGTTTAGAAAATCGTGTAGCGATATTGGAAAATAGAAATCAGACACTTATAGAGGAACTCAAATCGTTAAAACAATTATGCGAACCGAAAACTGACTGAGGTTGGTGTTTAACGTTGAAACATTGTATGAAAACTATTAACTTGCTAAAAAACTTGTACATGTCTTCTTTGTGTACATTATCCTAAACGTTGTTAGATAAGCGATGGTGATGTACATGCATTCTTATAAATAAGTGTTTCTGTAACATACTGTATTTAAAATGCGAATATGAAGGCTTGTGAAACTTGCTGTTACTAAAGCGAGAAGCCAAAGGTATATGAGATGCAGAGGCAGCAAACTTATAGGCAATATTCTGGAAGTCAATCTATATTTTGGATAAACTTAACAATTATATGAATTTAGGTTATTGATAGATTGCGGATTTGTGTGCATTTTAAAATTTTTATAAACATAATTAAAAATATGAAATCTAAATAGAAAATTGTTTTTCCTACATGTTATAACAAATATCACTTTTCTTCGAATATTTTTGCATATTATCTATATTTACATCCTCAAATTTTCCATAAATGCATAATAATCCGCAGTCTAGTTATTAATATCTGCATATTCAAAATATGTGTTGATAATGAAACAATAATACTAGTGTTTGAAATATATTCATTTAGATTACAGTGACTATGTGATGTTGAACGGAACTGTTTTACTTACATATAAATATTATATTCATATAGTTTCATTCTACTTGAAAAAAGTTTACATTAGTAAAAAATAGAAAAAAGTATAAAAAAAAAAGAACACGAGAGTATATTTAGTAGTCAATTTATTATAAATAATTGGTCGCTAAAAACTATACATACTTGAGAGAAACGCCTTATACACAATATTTGCTAGTGTAATTTAGAAAATAGATACAGCTACGAATTAAAATCACATAGTTTCTGCATTAAAAAAAGAGCATAATTGTTAGGCAACAGTATCTGTATATTTATTTTCTAACTTCTTTATTCTTTTATACTTGGAAGAGACAGGTCCATTAAAAAATGAATTAGAGATGATTGTAAATAGATAAATAGATCGAGATTTTATTACTTTAATTATTGCTGCTGCAATCTGTATGTGTATAAAATGTCTCAATATAATTTTTTACTTTAAATACGAACCTCACAAACGTGTTATGAAGAAAAATATAATTTATACAGTGTAGAAAAACGTGCGAAAAAAAGGACTAGGTGAAATGCTCTCATCTGATTTTATGTTCTATTTTAAGATGCCTCAAGTGCGAGAAGCTGGAGAACAGAATTTGTAAAATATAAATGTAATATATATATATATATATATATATCTGGAGTGCCTTGACACATACTTATGTATGTATGAAATTTATGTTTTAGGTAAATATGGGTACATACAATATTTTTGAACTATATATTATGTTATAGTCTTACGTCCTACGTAAAAATCAATACAAGTGCATTAAAATTTTAATTTTTATTCCGATTTTCATATTTTTAAATTAAATTAATATTAACAATATAATATTTATTATGTAATACAGATATGATTGAATTTATTTCATGTACTGTAAAAAACAAAGAAATTTGTTATAATTGAATAACTTGCATATTATGTTCTGTAAGATTATTAAAGAGAAATTATTTTTTAATGTCTGACACATATTTACCATCATACAAGGAATTATTTATCCAATGCATTTTATTTTCCATAAAATCAATATTCTGTAATCTAAGTACGAGAACTATTTGATGTATAATTTTGATTGTTATATATTTATATATAAAAAAATAGAATTTCAAATAAGAAAAATCCAGTTTGATCACTCAATAATATAACATAAACTGTTCAACCTCATTAACGATATCCTGCTGATTATTTGATATATTTTTGTTTTGTTTTTTATAGAATGTTAAAATATCATTGTTTGTAAGTTTATAAAAAAAATATAGTAATAATATTTATTGTGTGCTATTTGTATACATATCATTTTTTTAACATTAATAATATATATTTTTTTAATAAAAGCAAAATAAATATTTCATAGTGACTGGTCAGACTGGAAAGATTTTTTGTATAAGCAGGATGCGTAATTCGTAAAATTATTTATCGTTAAAACTTTTCACTTTATAGAAACTAATACAGTTACACAGTCTTCGTACATGCTTAATATATAATCTGTAATTACATAATTTTATTGAATTAAAAAATAGTTCGTTTCCAATTCTCTGTAAACTGAAAGTACAATATACTTATAGTGATGCGTTACAAAATAAAAACAATTCACTATAAGTTTCTTTTCTCTTACAGATTTAAATTTGATTTAATTTAGGTGAATTACTATTGTACACATTTTTATCAGTGTTTTAATGTTAATTATATGTATGATATATGTATATCTTGATTGCTGCACCGATAATATGAAATATTATTGTACATAGATAATATATGTATTTTTACATATCATTTGTCTTTGAAAAATATAATTCATAAACCTCTTTAAGGATAGTGTTATTATTACAAAACTGAAGGATTGGAATTTAAATATTTATATATTTAATTGGATATTAAATATACAGAAATATACGTTTAAAAACTTTTATTTACTATATGTACAATTATTTTCTTGTTGAAAGAATAAATGAGATGATACTGCTTTAATAGATTATCTTCTCACCTAAAATATAAAATATAAAAAATTTTAAAATATGTGCATTTGAAACATATTAAGTTTAAAAATTTAGATTTCAAAATTCAGTTGGTAGTGCATGTAAAAAATAATCATAAGTTCATAAGTTCATAAATGATAAAATCATCATTTGTTTTAATTCAAAATCTTATAAAAAAGTAATAATAATACTAACCATTTTACAACGATTTTTTTGAAGCAGGAACCTGAAATCAATATAACTAAATCAGTTTTTATTAACAATTACAATATTTGTTTATTTGTAAATTATTATTGATTCAGTTGGTAGTGCATGTATTTCAAATAATCATGGAATCATATATAAGTGATTGGATTCATCATATAGATTCTTAAATATAATATACAATATAAAAATAATGAAACATACATACAATTTTATTTCTTCTTCTTCTTCCTTTTTTATATTCTCCGATTACTCAAAACTATTGTACTACCAAGTTCTGATGATCTTTCTGTAAATAATTAAGTTCAAATATATTTATTTGAAAGTTTTCTAAATACAATGAATCGATTAAAATATTACTGCATAATAATAAGGACTCATCACCACAGATGTTTTTAGATTACAAGATTTTGGAAAATATACATGTTCATAAGTAATAGGAAACACGTGCGCATTTACTTGTACTTACCTATAATAAATATCTGTAGAAACTAAGAGACGAAATCACATTGTAAGATTTTTGTTACATTTCTTATTATTATTTCTTATTATTTTTTAATTAATTTTTTGATCAATAGTCTCGATTTTCGATAAATGATTTTTAAACCTCATCTTCACCTTCCGAACATGTTCACTGTCGCCAAGTTGAAGTCAAAATGATTTCAAAAGATGAATATTAAGTTTGAACATTATGAAAGTCATTCATTAACCGACTTAGGGTAAATTCTTATGTATGCGATCATTTATCGAAATTCTTTCGAGGCATGTCTTTTATAGGTGTAGAATTATTATAAAAAAGAAAATAAAGATTTGTACGAACATCATACAAATTATTATTTACGTTATATTTATATCTTATCTCTAATTAATTTTCCAAATATATATTTTTTTAACCAATCAAAAATATGCTGACTGTTTGGTATATTTACGGCAATGTAATCAGTGATAGATACCTATCTAGTTGTTACCATTTAATCTTAGTAGTTACAAGTGTCAGTCTTTAAAGTCAGAATTGTGTGCCGTTTGGTGAAGACATGGAGGTAATTGAAACATGTTCCAATACAATCTTGATAAAATTGTAGCCCTCTTTTTAATTGTCATCAATTAATGTAAAAACAGCCGTAACAAAGGACAAAAGATGTTAATTTGAGGAAGAGAAGTAATTACGTGACAACGATACTTAGCAATGTTACCGATATTTCATTTTACCACAATTGTCTTGATATACCAGTTTGTACAAATTTATCCTAGACTCGGGAAAAGTTAACCAATTGAGCCTAACGATGCGTATTGAACAAATGATTTTTAAGAATCGTGTTTGCGGATAGATAGATCATTTCCAAAATTGGTATAATGATTGTCAAAACTTTAGGATAGTCTGATTTTGTATACTGAGATCTTTTATCAACAAAATCTTGTTTTATTCACAGGCGAAAGGAAAATAAAGATGACGGAAAGTTTAATAAATGAATGGTTAGCAGATTGTGCAGATGTATCATCATCGGAACTTCATACTTTTGCAACTACTTTATCTCAAGACAATGAAATAGTCAGAGCTCTTTATGTACTCTTGGAAGAACGTAGTAAATATGGTCAGGTAATATGTTCTTGGTTTAACTTTCTACATCTTGATGGAATTTAGTTTTTTTCGTGTACAGCTTGGGCGAATTTTGTTCATTTACTGACACTGAAACAAAGCATGAATAAAATGTATTCTGTTTAAAATCCTTTATTCAAAAGTACAATAGATTATATTTTATTTACTCATATTAATAACTTTTCATTCGTTGCAGTTGATGGATATAGTATGTGATCAATTATACAATTTTTATCGCTCTCGAGAAACAGAATTACAAAGATTCACCTTGCAATTTTTGCCAACATTAGTATATATTTATTTAAATTCTGCAGCTCATGGTGATATTAAGGTAAGATACTGTAGTGTGAATTCATGTCATGATGTCATGAAGTATAATTTATATGATGTTATATAACAGAACAACTATAATTTAATTTAAAATTATATGGTAGACTAGTACTATTATTTTCTTCATTATAGAACAATTATACTCAAATGAAATGTATGCAATCTAGGTTCAGAAGTATTATCAGAATATCAATTTGGAATAGATAATTAAAGATATATAGTTAATTTCAAGATATAGTTGATTTTTTAGTTGACATAATATTTTAAACACATTATTAAGACAGTTTTAAAAAACTTATAAAAAATTATAATTCCATTTTAATGAAAGAAACAAATTTTGCATATACATTATCTTAAACCTTCAATTTGACATAATCTCAGCTAATTAATTTTCTTTTCACAGAATTGTCGGTCTGTAGAAACACTATTGATTGGCTTGTATAATCTAGAGATAGTGGATAAATCTGGACAACAAAAAGCAATTTCTTTTAGACTACCTTCACTTGCTATGCTTTCTATATTTCATGAGGTATATTTACTTTAGTAGATAATTGAATTCTATAAGTATGTAATGTTATTCTAATTACTCTTTCTTGTACAGCCTGCAAGTTTAGCACCTGCATCTTTAACGGAGAGTGCAGTGCGTAGGTTTGAAGAATGTAATACAAAACTCGTTAGTTGGGGTCCACTGCAACAAGTTGAAACACTAAATGCTCAGAATAGATTAAAAGTTATGACTGCTCTTCTTTTTATCTACAATCAACAACTCGGTTATATAAGTAAATTCGCGTTGGAGCAATTATGCAAAGTTGCTACCAAGTAAGATAAAACTAATTATTTTTTTATATTTGATAAATGTATAATGATAACATGAATAATTTATTGCAGACTCGTCACTCAAGGATTTATGAAGCCTGGACATCATCAACGATCTTCGTACGGAAGCGAGTCCAGTTTTGTTCCAAGACTTTTACCTCGTATACCCGTATCGAGTCAATTTCTGCTTGAATTTTTGCATGCTGTATATTTTGCTATGTGAGTATTATATTCTTCAAGTAATAGCCTGTTAAAATAATATTTAATGTATAATATAAAAAAATATTATTGAAACTAAAAGTGATAAAAAGTAATATATATTGGCAGGTATAACGATTGTTGGTATTTAGGAACACAAGCAGTAGAAGATATTCATAATCGAGCATGTTATGAGACGTATCCAGATGTTATGCTTGTCACCAATGCTATACGTAATTCCGCCAGTAATGGACCATCAGGTATATTAGTGTAAAATAATAAAAAAAGTACATGTTATATAAATAACAATTAATTATGCCAGGTCAACCTAGCGATGGACCAATTGGCATTAGTGTTGCATTATCGCCAGCAACTGCAACTGCTACGGTGTCCAAATCAATGATCACAAATGCTTCGTTCCGGACCAAAAAGTTACCAGGTATATTTTTCACTTTAACTGAACTTTGCGTTATAATCTAACAAATTAATATGTCCAGACATTTTACTTATGTTTGTTTTTTTAAATATTTTATGCACAATATGAAAACTATTTTTTATTAGATTAATTACAAATATCCAGCATGTCAGTTGTTGTATAGCAATTACTAATTAGCATGCACTAAGACAAAACAAAAGTTTCTTAACTTGGAAAATTTTCTTAAAGTTAGAAACCAAATTTAAATGTGTTAATACATATCAGATAATGTGAAAGTAAAAAAATGCATGAATATATGAAGTATATGAATCATATTATAAACAGATGATAGTAATTGTAGTTATTTTTCTAGATATTAGTTTAGCTTACATTCTTAAATTATAATAGATCAATATTTGTATCTAGTAGTACGAATGAGATTTCCAAAATTCACAGATGAAAAGATTGTATAGAAAAATGTATTTTCTTATGAAAAGTTAACTTTGCATGAAGTATATATGGAATATATATTTAAACATTTAAGCATTATTGAACTAAGCGAATGTGCATTGCTTGCAAATATGTGTCGTTAGACGATCTGGATGAGAAGTTATTTGAGGATGAAGTGAACGCTACCCAACTTGAAAACCAACCACAACCGACAGTATCTAACACTACGAAGCGGTTTCCTTGGCATTGGAAGCACTCACTTCCGATTTCAAGCGAAGAAGATACCAAAATAAGAAAACTCAGTTCTTCCTCAATGGAATTCTCTAAACGAGGAAGTGTGTGTAGCAATCAAAATTCCCCTATTAAATCCTCTCCTAAACGAAACAAAGAGCATTTGAAGAAAGATATTTCTGAGAAAGGTGAAGACTACAGTATGAAAAAAATAAAAAAAGAACACAAAATAAATACTGATTTAGCTCATGATGAAAACAATATCGGATCTAGTTCATATTTGTATAATGTATTGGAGGAACAATTTCTAGGAGAAATAATTCATGAATCAATGGAAAATTTATATCTGGAAGGAAACAAATCAATTGGTTTTCACGCGACTGCTGCCCTGTCAACAAATACATGGTACTAGTGATTCAGTTTCAGCACTTTATAGGATCACTAAATATTATCAAAATTTTTCCAACAAAACACGCGGCAAATTAGCTGTTACACTGTGTAACATTAACTATTTTAATTAGTAGCAGTTTGTGCATTTATCTATGAATTCGTTTCAGAGGAACCACCATTTTTACGAGTAAAAGAAATCAAACCTAAAGTATTACTTACTTTATTGAGAGGCACATAATGGAAAAGCTGCATGCAATTTTGGCATATTTCGTTTCATTGAAGATAGTGCATTTGTTGTGACACAGGTTTATCCTACTCCTTTCCTATTTCCTTTTTTGTTCTTAAATATGATTTTTGTATATTGTTTGTTATTCTTAATTTACAACGTGCATGAAGTATCTCATTTTTGTTGTGAGATATGTATAGTTTATGGATATAAACAATAATATAAATATAAAGCTTAATATTTTTACTTTTTGCTTTACACAGAATGCTTAATTTTTTTCATTTAGTTCTCATGACATTATTATTTTAATAACGTTTTTTTATTTTTTCTTTTGTTTAGATGATATACCGATTCAAGAAACGAAGGAAGATTCTGGAGGAGAAGGTAAAAGTAATCTTGTATCAATCACAGAAGAAGAATCGATAGAACCAAGTAGAGTTGGTTCAATGAGACAATCGAAGGATCAAAAGACTGCGTCTAAAATCACGAATTTCCCAGTACTTGGGAAAAAACCGCGAGAAAAGGATGGTAAGGTAGCTAAGACTTATATTAGCATACCTGAGAAGGAGAAGAAACTTGGATCTCAAGCGACTTCAAAGGAGAGTATTAAAGGTAGTTCCTCAATGTTAAATAGTGACTCGACAGAAATTGATGGAAATATTAATGGGTGTTCTATCAGGAAAAAGAATAATAGTGTAGAAAATAATTCAGCTACAGTAGACAGTAATATTTCTTTGATCGATGGCGAACGTCTTGCGTTAGGCGGAGAAATAGATAACTCTAATATGGAAACTCCTATTACTTTAAGAACGCATAATGAAACTGAATCATTAACTTCGTCTATCCAAGTTAGCTCTGTTTAAGTTATTACAAATAGATTTTTAAAATGGACATAAGAAAAATAGTAGTGGACTATATTGAATGAAATAAATTGTTTTTTATAGTTTCTTATCTTCTATATATTGTAAATACATTTTCTTTCCTTCAAGTTTAAGAACATACACTTCGTCTTTTATGTATAATTTAATTCAATTATTGATTCTCAGATAAAGACTTCATTTAAAATGATATTGTATTTTGAAGAAAACAGTTTTACATATAGTTGATTCAAAAGTGGTCCATTACTATATTGATCTCCATACTCAGTTAAAAAAAGAACTAGTAAAATAATAATGGGGAAGGGAACAATAACTTAACATATATTTTTTTCTTCAATAAAGGTACATCCTCGCATATTAAAAGATTCTATTTATCATCCTTATAACATGTCTGTTAAATTCATTCAATAGATATCTATTTTTTTCAAATATTTTAATATCTGATTATTTAAAGATTATTTTAATTATCAAAAAGTAGTAGACCAGCCCTATATTTAAAAAATGATAATTTATTCAATATTTAAATTGATCCGAAATATGAAAGTAAATGGATTTCCCTGTATTCTTTTCGGAAGTTTATTAAATTAAATGACATTATTTTTTAATATTTGTATTATTTAATTTCATTATATTTATAGCTATTAATGGCTAATTATTTCACGCAAGCCCATTTGTTCTGGATTCTACAATGAAAAATGGCAATAGTTTTATTTAAAAAATGATTTGCATCCTCAAATATCAAGTATTGTGTGAAAAGAATACAATATGATTGACTTGTACTTGGAGACAGAAATTAAATTTAAAAAATCATAATTTTTTTAATAATCATACTTTCCACGTAGTACAAAAATTGTATTTGTTTTTCATAAATTTCTAATGAACAAAATATTTTTAGCCTCATCGTACTCATCTGTCCAATGTTGATTTTGAAATAATTTATTTGAGTATTTTTCCATAATTCTAATATTAAGAGTATTCTTATTTTATAGTAAAAATACAGAGAGCAACATGCAAATAAATCTGCGATTCTGATAGTATTTCTCTTTGTAAATGCACTGTAAGTGCATTGTTATAGGAAATATATAAAAAAAATTTTTATTTAAAATTATTTATTATCTATTGTTTTAATTAAAATAAAAATTTTTTGTAACTATTAAAAAAATACTAAGAATCATAAAAAAGAATCATAAACATGAGTAAAATATATTTAAAAAATCATAACTTGGAATTGGTATTTACTTGAAAAGACTGTATATTGCATCACATTATTACTTAGTCTAATAAAGAAAAATATACCACTATGATTTGTTAACCAATGAGAGTGTTCAGTGCGGCATTGTATGGATATTAATGTCAAATTAAAAAGAAAACAAGATATATAATATATCTTATATAAATGTTTTAAAGCAATCATTTAATTGTTGTGACACTTCAGAAGTTTTCTATTAATTATAAAGTCAGTCTATCAAATAATAAAAGAAGGCTGGATTTATATTCTACTTCTTATGAAAGATAAAACTTTGCATTTTATCATTACTTTCATGGAAACAAATTAATTCATGACAATTCCATACAATATATATTAAAAAAGGGTTAATTAGATTCTTTAAAAATTAATCAACTTGTATGCATAATATAATTTAAATTTATTTAAATATATTTTACAATATTAAAATTGTTCCCTATTCCTATGTATTGTCATACAATTACAAATCGTATACTATAATTTTTCAATAAAATTTTTTATTTTCATTTCTTTTATATCGTTACAAAATATGAAGCGCAATATATCTTTGTATCTTTTCCAAACATTGAAAACAATTAATTGGGAAAAAAATTAATTGGAAGAACTTTTATAATCGGTAGGATGTTAAAATGAAAATATGTGAACACATTCTACTTACATGTTATGTGAAAAAAGAAACAAAATTTTGAAAAATGATTTTTATATTAATTAAAAATTTTTAATTAATAGCCACCAGAGATACAAAGATAGAAACCACAAGATTATAGATTAATTTATTTTAGAGGGAACCAGAATTTAATTTTCTGTATCACTGCCATGTAGTGTAATTTAATCAATTAAATTGCACTGATTAAGTTCATAACATACTTAAATTCATAAGTTTGGTTGATTTGTATTATTATACCTAAAATTGCACACCCTATATATGCGTGTGTGAGATACAAATATTTAAACGAGCAAAAAGTAACATGAACTGTAAGTATTAATGAATTACATAGAAAGAATATCTATACAAAAAATAATAAGTTGAATGTTTGTTAAAGTTAATACTTGTACAAAAAGAGAGAAAGGAAAATTGGTAAATATATAAGAATTGTAAAATTTAATGTAAATTTTGGAGCCATTCACCGTTCGTCTTAAAATTGCTCTTTTCTGTATATTTGACAAATTCTCTTGAGCATCTAATTATATCAAATATACATAGAGAAACCTCTTGTATATGAAAAGAACAATATGTATATAATGTTTCACGACAATTATTAATGTACTCATAGAATGTGAAATAATAATCATAATATCTTGTATGTTTGTGCAAATTATACAAAATTATAATGATCCATGTATATGATGATATAAATATTGTACATTATTTTAGTTTATAACTATGGTGTTAGAGCTTGTTATATTGTTAAAGCTATGTAAATAATATATAAACTTATTGCACAGAGTAAACTTGATTGAGTTTATTGATGAAACATTTGATTTTCATTGCATGTTTAATGTAAAATTAACATTAACATCGGCATATTAAAACCAGAAGAAATTAAAATAAAATGTACAAAATATATTACTTTTTCATAATGATATATTCTTACTATCAATATCAAGAGATGGAAGTATATTTTCCTTTTACTATTAAAGTAAAAATTTAGTCATTTGCAACTGTGTATTTGTTAGAATATAGTACATTCCAAACAAAATGTTGCAATTAACTTAAAATTGTTATATTACAAATATTATTAAATTAAAATTGTTAATATATTAAAACTATATAAATTAGAATTATTTTATTAAAATGTTCATACTTTGAGAACTATTTTTAAAGCCTTGAGAATTGAAATATTTTGCAACTTATGAATTTTATAAATATAATGATGAGTTTTCTATATTGAATTTAAAATCAAATATGTAACTTGTTTTGTATATAATTCAATTTTATTATAATATATATTATAATAAAGATTTATTCTTATTAAAATGATAAACGAGTATTATGTCTATAGGAAAGACATCTTCTACTTGTAATTATCAAATTTATTATCATTAACTTATTAAAATTATATAGCAATACATGCAATAAAAATATTAAAATAAGCTAATAGAAATATTCGAAGTATTTATATTAATTCTTGTATTAATGTATTGTATTTTATGTATTCACATTATTATTTCGCACTTATTAAATGATGCAATAAGGATAATATTTAGGTAATAAAATACGCAATAAATTATACAAAAATATTGTTAATACATGTAATTAAATAAAACAAGATACATTGTGTTTCTGAATATATTCCTACACATTTATACAATATACAATTGTTATTCAGTTATTCATGTTTTCCATAAGGACTTTTTCCTAGTAATATAGAAAAAAAATATATATGTATATATATACGTATTATATAATTATATAATTCTAATAAAACTTACAATTGAGATTTCATTGTTATATAAATCTTGATAATTTTTGAAAAGTCCTGCAGTTTCATTTTCTAATTTCTTTATTGTGTTCTGAATTTTTTTCAGTTCTAAACAATCTTCATTATACTGAATTTGTACTTCCTCCAACTTCTCCTTACACGACTTTTTATTACTGTAATTAACAATTTTTTTTGTAATCAAATATAAAAATTAATCCTTCATTTAAACAATCGTGAGATATACCTTAATAATTGAGCATTTAAACTACGTAAAGGAGAGAGACGTTCTTCACATTGCATTTGAATTTCGTTTATTTCATCTTCTTTATTATGATCCTTTTGAACTACTAATTTTCTTTCAAATTCCGCAACATCTATTCTAAGAGTATCAACTTGCTTCCTTGTAGTAACTTCTTGTACTTTTATTTTTCTGGAAATAAAACGAAAGCAAAGAGTGCGATAAATTGATCATTAAAAGAAAAGAATCAAACAAATTCGATCAAACAAACAAAATTATTTAAATACTTTAATCGATCATATATATCTCGAATTTCGGTAAATTTTTCCAATTGTTCTTGAATAAAAGTCAATACATTTTGCTGTTTCTCAATCAAACATTTTTTGTCCTGGAATGCTTCTTGTATTATTTCACGTTCTTCGATTTTAGTACTTTGCTGCTGTTCTAACTCATTTAAACGCTTTTTATATTCTTCAGGAGATTTTACAATCTCTGATTGTAATTCCGTTATTGCTTTACTCAACTATAAATTACAATCTTTATTCAACATAATATACAAATGATTTCACTTTTGTACTCAGTGTTTATTCACCTTTAATGCCTGTGCTTTATAAGTGCCACAAAGTTCCATTGCTTTTTGCTTTTCTTCTTCTGCAGGCGACATCCTTGTTACTAATTCAATATGTTTTTTATTATTCTTTTCAAGCTTAGATTGTAGCTTTTGAATTTCAGCAATATACTTAAAAAAAAAAACAGTAAATAAATTAAAATAATGTATATAATTCATGATAAAGTGAATTCATTAATAAATTGAATTTATCAATAATAATACCTTTTCCTTTATTAATAATTGCTTTTTTACATGCTGTGTGTTATTATTTATAGCTTCTTCTGTTTCATTTTTCTTTTCTAAAATATCATGCAAAATTTTTGCTCGATTCTGAATTTCATTGACTTTCTCTTCAATATCTGATTCTTTATTAGTTGCGTACAGTATAAAATTTGCTAGGAATTTTGCTTGTTTGCGAACTTTCTTTGATCCTGAATAACACAATCATTCTCTATCCAAGTTCCATATAAATATTATTTATGATAGTTTCAACTTCATAATAAAACATTACCTGGACTAGTAATATCTGTGATACAGAGATCTTTCACATATATTCGATCATATATTTGAGCCATAGCAACATACAAATTTATAAGTTTAATTATAGTGAAGTCTTCACAAGATGACATTATATCTTGCTGTTCCATTGTTGGCTACAATAAAATCAAGTTTTGTGTATTGTATTTCTTATAATAGTTTCTTGTACATTTATATCTGAATAACAAAAATTACATTAAATATAATATATTCAGCAATCGTTACCTTATCAATTGCGCTAACATCGATATAAAATCGTCTTAAAAATGTATTAATTAGATTGACAATATATTCTTCTGTTGGATTTTTCAGATCATTTATAGTTGACGGAAGATTTGCTTCGGTCAAAATACTATGAATCTTTTCTATATCTAAATCCATGTTTCGTATTTACAATAGAAAATTGTTCTACCTACTTAATTGACGGTTTGATTTTAAATGCATTCAAATTTACATACATGCGCAGATATTCCTCATGGCGAATCTTTAATCGAAAATATTTTAATCAGATATTTGCGTTAATTGTCTAATATGTACTTATAAACGTTATGTAACAAATTAAAATTTATATAACTAATTAAATAATTTATATAACTAATTAAAATACAATCGTTTTTGTAACCATATGAAATATATTTTTCATACTTCAAAAAATGCATCAATTCACTAAGAAATATTATATGTATATTTACATATAATAAATAAACAAATTAATAATGTGCTTACTTGATAAATAGATTGGTTTCGAAATATTATAATTATACATGAAAAACAGTATTAAGGAAGATTTAAATCCTACTAGTAATTTTCATATCATTACAAATTTTTAATATTATAAATTATGCAATAATGTTGTATAGTTCGTCTAAATGCAATTAACTAATTCGATTACAAATTATTTACAAATAGTAAACTTTTCTTTTGTAAAAAGAGTGACATACATATATGTTGGTAACACTGAATGAATCGTAAGCATACTAGAAGCTTTACATATGATACGTCACCAACGAATTTGTACATAGCTCTTGTGTTACATATTTTTCTACTTCAATTATCCATTCTTAGGCGACAATTATTTTCATGCTTTGCACTCTTTCAAACCGAGTGACTTAAGAAGCTTCCTCTTCAAATATGGGATCTTCTCATAGTATTGAAATACCAGGAGGTGGCACTGAAGGTTACCATGTATTGAGAGTAAGAACATTTGTCAGATTGTTGTAATTTACTTTGTATTTTTATAATAAATCATAATCCAACTTTTAATGATTAATATTTAGATGTATATCATAAATTTATCATAATTAAAAAAAAATCAAGTAATTTTACCATATATTTAATAATCATAATAAGTAATATATCATAGATTCTAATTTAAAATAAAAATTGAAAGTATGAAGTTATTTTTTAATAAATATATCTCTTTCCATCTTATTGCTTTTTTTTTTTTTTTGTTAGATGTAGCGAATTCTTTTAAATGTTACAACCTTGTATAGGTACAAGAAGGTTCTCCTGGTCAGAAAGCTGGATTGGAAGCATTTTTTGACTTTATTGTAGCTATTGGAAACACACGCTTGGTACGTATTTTACAATAACTTCTGCTAACTTCTGATTGGTATTTTGTTTTTATGAATTATACCAATTCTAAATTTTACAGGATCAAGATAATGATACATTAAAGGAACTTCTTAAAAATGGTGTAGATAAAAAACTAACGCTTACGATATATAGCAGTAAAACACAATCTGTAAGGCAAACTGTCATAGTACCTAGTCTTACATGGGGTGGGCAGGGTCTTCTTGGTGTTAGTGTAAGATTTTGTTCTTTTGAAGGTTCTAATGAAAATGTTTGGCATGTTCTTGTACGTACAACCATAATTGAATCATAAAAGATCGAAATATATACAAAAGGAAAAGTTCGTTAAATTATGTTTTTGTAGGAAGTTCATCCATCTTCTCCTGCGGAATTAGCAGGTTTACGTCCATTCACAGATTATATTATTGGTGCTGACTCGGTTTTACATGAATCCGAGGATTTATTTACTTTAATAGAAGCACATGAATCACGACCTTTAAAATTATATGTATATAATACAGAAGATGATTCTTGCAGAGAAGTTACAATTACACCCAATCATACCTGGGGTGGGGAAGGAAGGTAAACGTAACGAATTCGTTAATTAATATTTAAAAATATTATAATTTATATCTTACGAATATTTTCTATACTTTTATAGTTTGGGTTGTGGAATTGGGTATGGATATTTACATAGAATACCCATTAGAAACATTCAAGAGCATAAATCAAATAATTTATACACGGTATATATTAATCTGAAATGTTACGTGAGATTTGTGAAAGTATTTCATGATAAATTTTGCTTTTTCTTTTGTAGTCTAACGTTAAAGTCACGGTTTCAAATCCAGTCACGTCAAACATTAGTCACATGGAAGGAAGTAATGTAGTTACAAACATACCGCCAGGTTTTTCTATTCCACCAAATTACATTTCGTCGCAAGAAAATGTTGCGACAAAATCTGAACTTGAAACTACGTCTACTACAATGTACACACCAAATGCACAAGCCTATACTATGTCTCAGTTAAATCCTGCTACTATCGGAGGATCTACAACTACTAATTCTGTGTCTCATGTGGTATCTAATCAATCTGTTACAAGTACAACATGCAGTAAGTATTTATAAATTATTAAATTTGTAAATTTTTAGACAAAAAATGTAACGACATTATTTTCATTCAGGTAATGATTCCATCATGTCATCGATGTCGTATCAAAATACAATGCCAAATATACCTGGTATGCCAACTACCCCGCCTTTGCCAACTTTTACTACTAATACGACACTTATGAATGAAACAGTTGGTATTGTCAATACACTGAAAGATTTCTCAACTGTACAAAGTGGCATATCATCATCAGTACAGTTTAATGTGCCTCAATCTCACGTAGTAACGACCCCTATATCGTTGCCCGGGATGCCGCCTATTACCGTTAGTGCAAGTCTACCACAAAATACGACTTTCTATTCATCTGTTCTTCAACAAAATGAACTAACTGATGTTAGTACCACATCCACAGTACCGCCAACAGCATTACAGTAACGATTATGTTATTTCTGAATGAAAATATCTGTTTTATAATAAAGTACGTATATAATGAAGAATAAAGGTAAATAAAGAGCGCAACGTATCTATTATGAATATATTATATTACTGTATTTTACTGCGTTTATACTTTATTACTTGTTTAAACGCAATGTATACAAATTTTCAGACCTGCGAGAATAAATTATTGTACATAGGCTAAAACTACGTAAATTAAATTCAAATTAAAGAATACTAAATTAAATTCAAAAGAATACTAAATTGTTCATTCTTTCTTACTTTTATTGCTCATACTTATACGATAAATATCATTTTTTTGAATCTACAATTTAAAGAATATACATTATATAATTTATTATATAAGAGTACAAGTTCGAATTTATTATTAAACAAAGGAATAAGACATTAACGCATTTAAAAATTTGAAATGTCTCACTGTCTTTTTACAAATTTGAAAGAAATTCGTACAAGGTACCAATCATTTTAGATAAAAATCATTTATTAAATATTGTACAGGTCAACCTTGTATTAGACATTGTTGTATAAATATTCACGGAATAACAGATTTTTATTTTAATAACTAAAATGGCTAGTCTTCCTTGCAACTTTTTCAGTGTTTTAAATGAACATTTAAATAATTATTTCGGTATAACCTAGTTCTTCTTCAGTTGGCAGTTTTATCTTTGACGGATCGATTAAATTTGGATCAATTGGTGGTAAACCATGTTCTTCTTTATAACGTAGTTGTAAATATGCTTCTCGTTGAGCCCAATCTTTCAAAAATGGGTCTGGTGTATTTCCGAGTATAAGAAAACTTAAGATAAGAGTTATAGATATAGAGAAAAAGAATGATAGATGCATAGCTTGACGATCTTTCTTTTCATCGTCGTCATAGTATCCGTAACTGACCCATGTACCTTTCACTTCATATTTATCAGTGCTTTTAGTTACTGAATCACTTTTATTAATTTTAATGTATGTATTAGTTTCTTTCGGTTTTAGAAACGTCAATCCTCTCTTAATTCCTTGAGGACGAATTAATTGTAGTAACCTTGACATTCTTTAATGTTAATACTTATTTTTTTTGATAAAATGTTGTCGTCTTTCTTTTTTCTTTCTCGTCAGCTCTCTGCAAAGTATTGGTTAATATATCGTAACAAATTCAGAAACCAAAATTAGATGCGTGTATACGTACGAGATGACGACCTTTACGGACTGCGACACTAAAGCTCGTGCATAACCTCTGAAGAATATACATATAATAGGGCGCCTAGATTTAAAGTTTAGTGCAATATAATTAAAAACATGATATTTGTTTTAAATAATTTTATTTTTTCTTAGTCTTTCAGAATTTCGAAAGTAAAGAAATTAGGTCTTATAAATAAGTCAATAAAGTAATACTACTTGAAAAGGTGTAATATAAATTATACAGGGCTATACAATGTATGACTAAAATCAAAAGTAGTGTTTATTTTATATATATTTCAAATTTATAAGTTAATAATATTTATTTTTTAGTTTCAATTCAATAATATAAGATCCAATTTAATTTAAGCTTAAAAGATTTAATCTAATCCAATGGAAATATTCATATATATAATATATGTAATATATATGTGTATATATTTTCTTTTAATTAACAAAAATATGAATTGCAATTTATTTCAATTTATGTTACAATTATTTATTTTGTACAACATTTTCATTATCATATGTGTCTTTATGGTCTTTATAAGCTACAGATTGATATATTTCCTGCCATAAAAGATTACTTAAATCTTTTATATTTTCTTCTTTTGAATAAGAAAAATGATGAATATATTTTTTCTTATCTGTTACATCTAATATTATTATTAAGGATATGCTTGTGTAACAGAAAATTTTTCAAAAACCACATATTTTATAAATAAAGGATACTTCCTGCAATATTTTCTTCAAGTTTTTCATAGTCCCAATGTATTTTTGTGAATTCTTTGTATAATGCAAATTTTCTTCTATAATTACAAGCAATTATAAATTTTTAATAATAGAACATAATAAAAAGGAAAGAGGAATTTAATAAAACATTAAGTTACAATATATAAAGTACAAACCTTCCTTGATCTAGTAATTCCTGATCCTTCAAATTTCGCTTGCATGTCTTAAGTTTATTTCTTTGCAATTCTAATTGTTGATTCTCCTCTAAAAATTTATTCTTCTCCCCTTTTAATTCTGTCTTAAGAAATAATAAATTTTAATTTCTGTTATGTTTTACAACACGAAGGAGCAATTATGTCATATATTTATATGAAAACAAGAATATGAAAATAATTACTATATGGTTTAAGTGTTTAGATAAAACATTATTTTTATATTCCAATGTTTGTTTCTCAGATTGGAGAATCTCCCTACTAGAGTTTACCTTTGATGTTAATTCAGTAATTTTTACTTTATCTTCTGGAAAAGAAAACGTCACTATTTCTGTATACAGAAAACAAAATGTAATTTTATTACAATAATATAATAAATTACCGCTAACATCTTGATTTTGTTTGTTCTTAATATGATCAATTAACTTCATCTGATTTTGTAATAAATCCTTAATTTCTGAATCTGAAATTTTGATGTGTTTTTCTTTAAGTATCACTATATTATCAATACTATTCATTGCAATAATGCTACAGTTAGGAAATTTGATAAAAAAACACAATTGTCAACACAAAACTCAAGTATCAGTTATTCTTATTTAGAAAATTTGAAATATCACTATACAGTGTTACCAATAACGCTATTAAAATATTTCACTCATAAACCACGCTAGGGATTTTATTTAACATACCGCGATAAAAAAAAATTATGGTATAGGAAATAAATAAAATCATAAAAATTCTAATATACAATCTTGTATCTGTTAAAAAAATTTTAATTTTTTAACAAATAATGATTAATAATGTAATTAAACAAAAATATTACTTTAATTACATTAAAAAATTTTAGGATTAAAAATAAAATTTCCATTATTCAACTAGTCATTTATAACAATAAATGTTTTATTATAATAAAAATGTATTAAACATCGATTATGTTTAGAACTCAATAATTAATGATGGCACTTAAATATAAAACATCATATGATATGCATTCTTATGTATTACATATTACAATAAGAATTATATGCAAAATACAATCTAGAGATACTTATATAATTACACTATTTTTACAAAAAAGTAATTAATAACATTTATTTTCTAAATGCATAAAGTATATTATTATGAACAAAATTTTAATGAAGTTTTGCTGTTACTGAAATTATTGTTTGAATCACATTAAAAAATTTCTTTTTAAATTATTCAAATATTATATTTTTTCGAAACGTTAAGTTTAATTTTACTTGTACATTATAAACTAACAAAAATTATTTATAAACTACAATTTTGCAACTACTATGTTGCAAGATATTGAGCAATTTATAAATTTAACTTCACAGCAATTTATTGTGTTACATTCTAATTATTATAACTATTGTAATCATGCATATTAATTATAAAAGTAAAAAACGTAAAAAAATTCGAAAGTCTTGCATTTTCTAAAAAAATATCAAGAATCCGTCATGTATTTTTTTACTTAATAATATATAAAATATTAAGCGATATAAACTGACTAACATAATTGATAATCATAAACAATATTTATATCTTTTTTCTAACCTAAATTAATCTTTCGAGATCAACAATCACTATTGAGTAGATTCACATTCATAGATATCTTTTGAGAAATGAGAACATTTGATATTCGGACATTTTCTCTACCACTTTGAGTATTACTTGAGTCTGATGTTGAACCATTATTATTGTTGTTATTATTGTTGTTATTATTGTTTTCTTCTTGTGTCGAATTAGACGAAGAAGGATTATTTGCTTGGATTAGAATTGTATTTAAATTATTATCCATTTGTTCAATTTCATATTCAGCTAAGTTTCCATTTCTAACTTCAAGAGCTAGTTGCCTACAAAGATATACAATAGTTACATGACAAAAAATAAATTTATTTGATGAATCGTAAATATCTACTTACTCTGGAGTCAGATTATTTGATTGATCATCAGTTGATAATTCCGGTGAATGTAGACTTACTGAATCTACATTGTCGTTATTTGAATCGTATTCATAATTTGGATTTATACGAACCCAGCATGGAGGCACATAACCGACAGCACGCACAAGATTGTTCTTATCTCTTAAAATTTTATTATTGTTAAATGTTACAGGCGGTGACCCTTCTTTACAGGTGATGAAAGGTTCTGTAAAATAGATAATTTATGAAGAAATTATATCAAATATCGTATTAACATTTTTAATGTAACATACATAATTCTATACACATTATTACCGCGTTTTGAACAGTCCGCAGTTAATTCAGCGTTCAAGTAGGTAGGTATACTGTAATGAAATAATTGTGTTTTTCGTATGAAAAATTAACCGTTTTTATTCACGGTTAGTAACTTCAAACATGTAAGAAAATGTTAAAGATTGAGCAATTACGACATAGAAGCTACAGTCTACAGTGCTCGTGTATCTTCATTTACAGTTTAGCGTGTATTTAACAAGTGTTTATTTAAAGTGTTCACTAAAAATATTTATTGCAAAAAAAGAGATAAAGCAAATAAACTTTTAATAAACAATTCCCAATGCACCCATTCATTAGTAATAATCATCGTGTTTTAATATCGTTTAATGTCATTAAAGTAAAATTTTGTTTAGTAGTGCTGTACTAACTAATATAAATTTATATTTTATTAACAGTATTTGTAACAATTAATATTACTCACTGTTTTCAAATGGCGGAGCAGTCGGTTCCATCACGCAAAATTCACCGTGTTCACACTGTTCTACCATGTTTTTTCGTTGTTTTGATCTTCCTAGAAAATATTTTATACAATTGTATTTCATTTTCTAAATTCTATTACAGTAAACTTATTTATTGCATATCTCTGTTATTATAATATTTAAGATTCGTTACTTACGTCGTTTGAAAAGTAGTATACCGAGAAAGGCTAAGGTAATTAGAATTATTCCAATTGTTGGGTAGATAATTACATCGGTATTCAATCCTATTATTTTTGTAAAAAAAAACACAAAAAAATCAGTATACAAAAATTATAATCTCAAGCAATTTTCACCGAATTAATTCCTTTTTTACTTACTATGAACATTTTGTTGTATATTTTTTTGACAAAATATTGCCATTTCTCCTGTACCTAGTTCTTCTGCGATGTAGCTACAATCAATAAATGTGATCAAATAAAATATCATCCATAAATATTAAATGAAAAAATTAAAAAATAATCTATAAAAAGATAAAAATGAATAATAAAATATATTACCCAGGAAGACAGGGGCCGCATTGAGAAGGATGTCGTGATCTTCCTTCATGATTTTCTACTCTATTGTATCTATTGCATTGCGTATAATCGACACATCGTTCTGATACATGATAACAATATTGTTTATTAGAACAATCACTATCATCACGACAAAATTTTTCCTCTATCATAGCCTGCAAAAAAAAAAAAAAAAAAATGAATTTTAAAAATTAAATTAAATTTTAGCTATAACATAAGACACAACTAATAACAAATACAAAATGTAGTTGTAATGCTTTTTTGAAGGTATCTTCCCAAAAAGTTAATTATTTTTCTAACACGAAATTTTCATAGTAGTAATTTTATGATAATTTATAACAGATTAAATAATTATCTTTTTTACACAATATCATTGATTATCGAAATAGAATATTATATACTTTTACGATCTTAAAATGCTAATAAATATAGTTAGTCTTACAAAACTTTTCATAGATTTATTATTTTATTAATCTAATTCAATTATTTTTAAGAATGTAAGTATGTATGTAAACATACTAGGAAAGAATTGCATTAAGAAATCAGTGATATTTTGAACTTTTTCGAATCTTATTTCTATAAACTGGGTGTAGAACGCGCGGCATTTCCGGTTTAAGTTTCAAGGATATTTGACCATATTTTACAAGCTATTTATTTGAAACCATTTCAAAGAATAATCTCTCTAAATTTTGACCTTTTTCAACAGCTATATACAGTATAAAAAATACAAATTCAAAATTACAATTTAATTAATTAAGAAATAAATGTTTGTTTCTTATTCACTACGTATTATATTTACTGTAATATGTAACTTTATGAATACATTTTATTAATACATTATTGAGACCTTTTTTAATTTTTAACATTTCATGGTGGTTGCTAAAAAAACATATTGTACATAATAAAATAAATAGCTAAATTTTTCAACACACATTATTATACTTCTTTTCTTTATTTTTATTTACAAAATAGTGGAAACTTCAAAATTTCATTCGAAATATAAATTTTTGTCAACGGGCCATGAAAATAAATGAAACATAATCAATTATTTTAAAAAGAATCGAATCTTCATTTGTAAGAAGGAAGTGTAAAGAATGATTTTTGTTAATATTTTCGATTAATTAAATGAAATGTAGGAGAATGATCTGCAGTTTTGATCTCTTGTGTGGTCGCCATTTTGTTAGCAAGTAGCCATCTGATAATTCATCACGCAACATAAAATGGTAGTTAATTAAAATTTATATATAATAACTTTATTAATCATTATTTTGACTATAGCATGAATAATCATGAATAATTATTATCGACACTTTTAAATAGAAACATTTTTACACGAAGGGCACAATCAAAAAAATTACTTTTAATAAGGATAATATTTTACACTTCTAAACACGATTTCTACATTATTGTACAAATTACTTATTTTAAAATTTTACACTATAATTTATTTTATTTCTCATTGCAGTGCTTACAAAAATACGTACTACTTGTGACTTTTTTGACATCAAACAAAGAAATAATAGTCCTGTATGAAATTATAGTATTTATATAATACTATAAGAAAAAGAAAAATAATCTTCATTCTGATAAGATCTTTTTTTCTAGATAAATTTCTGATAAAATGCACTATTTTTTTCAAGTTAAAGTATGATAAATTGTATCATGTCATAGACTACATATTTTGGGCTTAACATAAGGATTTACAGAGAAGAGTTTAACATTAATAAATTTTAACATTTCTTAAATTTATAAAATGAAGAAACATTGTTTAACAATAACAAACTTTTTAACAAAATTTGTTGATTGAAATTTTAGATGTAATATATTAAATTCAAATTGTTAATGTTTAAATTGAGTTCAAATTCCCCGTAATTAAAGCAAAAGATCCCTTATCTATCAAGTGATAGCATATGATTTCGCTACATGAAAAATTGCAATTTGCAATAACTAAAAGACAAAAGAAATTTGATTGATAATAATTAATACAAAATATAAGAAAATGTGTTATTATAATTACGCTCTTTATTTCTTTCCGATGTCTTATTTCTACGGCGGCTACAGATATTCCTGGGCAAAAAAGAAAAAAAAAAAAAATGGTGGTTGAATGAGTCATCGCGGCGCGGTGATGTAGTACGGAGAATTGTGGAACATGTTCCGATTCTAATTGTAAGATCACAAAACGGATTCGTCAAAATATCATACATTATTAAAATTCTGCTACATTTGTGTCTTATTTTACTTTGGCATTGAATTTTATTTCAGTGTAAATAAATAAGAGCGAATACTTGTTATCAGTAATAATTATCATGTCCTTCATTGGCACAATGAAAACAAGTCCGTTTACAAAAGAACATGATCGTTTATAAAATCAGGTATAATTTGCAGATCTTAAAAAATATATTAATAAATAATCAAACTCTAAAAAAAAGATGATGAAATTGAGATTTGGAATTGAGTTTTTTAAAAAAAACTTAAATTTTGATGTTAGTGTTAATAATACATGTATAAATAGAAGAACTTGGAACAGAACTACATGATTTCATATTTTCCGTTATATACTCCGTTATACTGCCTATCATAATCACTATCCTTGCATGTTCCCCTGTAATGTATATAACATGTAAGTGACATCTAATATATCTCAAACTTGATTGTGTTATTAATTTGATAACTCGGATATATATATTTGTATCAGTGTCAAAACTTCATGCGTAGTACTATAACCAGAAGTGAGCATTTTATAACTTATTAATTCAGATCATTCGATTCTCTCACGCGTATTTGGAAGCTGTGACAAACAAATCACAAATTTTAACACCTCGATACGCGGTGTGGTGTGAAATGAATTTCCTTGTTACTTACCATTGGAAGATATGATGTGGACGTATAAAGGTTGAAAAGATGAATTACTTCTAGTGATGTACTCGTATATGAGTAAAATTCTTCCGTAGACTGTTGACAGATTCATTCGTGCGCACGATTTCGCACGTAAAAACACTCGCACTTCGTTTACAATCCACCTACAACCTGATGCTATTCGTCGGCAGAACCGGCGTATACTGAACGTGTTCGAACCTGCTTGCGACGAAACAGGTGGTGGGGGTGACGTCAACAGTAGTGTAGTAATATTATACTGACCCCTCGTTTCTGACAACAATGAAATACTTTCTACTTAATGCGTAGCTAGGGGAGCGAACAGATTGTGCGCAGTTCGAAATTTTGTCAAATAACTGCGAATGAGGCCAATTGAAAAAAAGATGAATTTGAATATTTTATTATTTTATATTACAAACAGTATAAAGATGCTTATATTTATTTAACGTTAAATTTTATTTATATTTCCAAATTAAATTCTGTTTGGTGAATTGTGCGAAATAAAGTTGTATTCGTACTACGTATTATCAGTTCGTTTGATTGTATTTTCAACAAAACTGTCGATTGCAATTTACGTGCAAAGATATAGTTATCGAATTGTTATATTTTAAATGATGTAACAAATTGCATAAATTTACAAAAGTTGAAGTATACTGTAAATATTAAATTTATAAAAATACATTGCATTATTAATGAGAACAAATGTAAAATCATTCTGTGTTATTATAATTCAAATAGTTAGTCAGAATAACTGAGATAGATTTAATTAATGTATTAAATATTTAAAATAGTTGCTGTTGCCGCAGAATGTAATTTGTTATATTCTTCTCTTGTGATTCTTTAGTGACGTATCACTTATCATTGATATCGTTTCGATATATAATTCAAAAACATGATATTCGGAAAACTAGATCACATAACTATTATTTTTATAAATATTTAATAAAAATTTTGTTAAAACAAGCCCTGAATAAATAAGCAATTTAATTGCAAATTATTTAAAGTTTTTAATAATGCACTTACTAATTAATGTTTCTTGACAATTTATTAATAATTCAAGATTGTTACTAATTGATATAAATCCAAAAAACCAATCAATTTCACTTTTGAAAGTTTAATTGCAAGAGAGGGGATACTGATAATGATAGTGTGTACCTATACTGTAATATTACAGCATATAATATTCCCATTTCTAAGTTAAAGAGCAACTTTTGTACCATAATTTTAAATTTTAAAAAATCGGAAATATTAAGTTTGTATTAATTATAATTTGTTACATAAATTCAAATGTATTAATTATCAAAAATTAAAACTTAAAAGACATTTAAATGTGCAAAAAGCTTTGAATTATTCATATAATGATTTTTCATTATTAAATATGTAATATATCACTACAGCATAATTAATGTTATTCTATTCCTACAAACCTTTTATCACAGTAATTAATGAAGGTAATATTTAAAAACAATGTATAATGAAGTAAAAAACATAATATGTATTCTCATTTTAGTATATATGTACATACACTGATAAAATTGGGATAGCCTTATGTCTATTAATTTATGATATAATAAGCCATAATATAATACTTAAAATATTAAACACAAAAATTAGAAACATTTCTAGAATATCATCATACAATACACAGTTATCAAGAATTAACGTTTAAACAGTTCCAGAGTACTTCTTCATTGTATTAACAATCACGACGTTTAAAACTATTAGTTTGAAGCACATTCTTCCACATTCTGTTGTTATTTCAATACGATGTTTTTCTTAGTAAATTTATAAATCATTTATAATTTCTATTGCGAATTCATTTTTTATGATTGATTTTTTTTTTTTTTTGATATTACATACTAAGTAATTCCAAATCAAACAATTATATAGTATCGAATAGTAAACAATTTTATTTTTATACAAGGTTAAAACAATTATATTACTATGATGTAACTTTCTTTCAGCATATAAGCTTTTTTAATAATGGGAAGCCAATTAGTATGTATTACATAAAAGGGTACCATTTTCTTACAATGTTTTTTTCTTTCAGGTATCCAAATATATGAATTGTTTGAATCTTCTTTCCAGGTACTACTTCATTCATCATATTATGGTCTTTGCTAGCTTATATATTACTGACAGTTAACATTCACATCACTTCCATGCTGTTGTGTGTATTTTCTGTAAAACCCAATGTGGATGTTGGTGCATCTTGTGATGTTTCTTCTAAAGATTGCGCATCTATGCCTTCTGGTATGTTATTTGTTGCTGAACTTGCTCCATCATCCCAGTTTATTTTGAATCTAGTGACACGTGGTTTATCCCCCAAGATGTTTCTTTGTACTTTATCAAACTGAGGCTGTGGCGGTGGATTTTCTCTAAGTTCTGCATCTGTATATTCATTATTTATAAAATAACCAACGCGCACAAATTCATGTCCTCTGTACGAACAAGTTAACAAAACAACCGTGACTCCTAAAGCATCATTTACTGGAATCCTGCTGACATCTGGAGGATCAGCCTAAAATAAATAATAGGAATTAAGTACAAGTAGAAATATATTGCTGCCTTAACAGAAGATTTTTAACAGAAATTCAGATCTATTACTTAGTTAAATAACATTATCTATGTACCTGAAAAATGAACATATGCCTTCCTTCGGGGATGGGTCCAACATAAATTGTGTCTAAAACCTGGTCGAATTCTTCAGATTCAGCACTGCCGACATATATCATTTTCCATTCCAAATCTGTAACATCATTATTATTATTATTATTATTATTATTATTATAACACATTATACTGCTTGCTTGGAAGCAGATCATTCAGTACGAATTTCGAAAGAGGGAATATAAAATATATATATTAAAATTGAAATATATCAATATTATCTTGATAAAAGATCATTGAAAAAAGTTTCGACTAGTTTGTCCTTGGACAACTCGGTGTTAAATCATTGAAACTAACCTAAAGCAAGCACCAAATTATACTCGAATATCTGATTCATTTTGTATAACACCGAAGTCAATTTGCACGAATGTATTTAAAAAAAAGTGAAAAATATTGAACAGCTACCTTCTTTCAATTCCTCGATGCATTCGAACGTAACTTCAAATTGAAATGGATTTAGAAACGGCGAAGGATTATCGAGAACAGCTACATTTGCTAATTGAACTTTGGCCATTGCTGATTTTGTTCGACGAACGAAATTTCACCGAAAACACGCACAAGTGATCAATCCGTTTATCAGATTCTCTTTTTTACACTGTACTGGACGATTCAATCCCTTGAAAGACGAAGGATCGCGAACGAAAGTATAAACAATTTCATCCCAGCACACTGCTTGCTTTGGCGGCAAACGAACCAAAGAACATTTCCGGTGTTTCGAGAGTTACCGAAACTCGCTAGCGATATACTATATATTTTGCAACGACGGAAATTTAAAAGTCACTCGCCTTAAATCAGCGTATATTTTAAGAAATACATGAAAAGTCAATTGCAACCTCGAATTTTAATTATTCAGTACAAACTGTTATAATAGTTTAATTGTTTGTCACACAACTTCGAGATCTTAACTTTTCAATACTGGCGCAATGTTAATTGAACTTGTTTTGATTCTGTATAATACAGTTTTAAGATCGAGGAATGTATCGATTTTTGTAAGTGGATAGTAAAATGAAATGCATTTAATAACATTTTTGCTCATCTTAAATTAAATTTAAAAACGTACACGTTTATAAGATACTGTCCTTAAGGATTATTTGCAACACAACATGCAGGTCGCAAATTTTTCAACTCTAATTACGATGAATATTTTGGACGATATGTAAATAAAAATAACATTATATCTTATATCTACGGTATTAAAAAATGTTACAGATTTTAATTGAATGAAATTAGGTATCTAACATTAAATTTAAAATCAAGTAGTTGGATAGGCATAGACGTTGTACTAGATAGATCTCGTGCCCACTGTAATTTTATGTCTAAGCTTCAACATTTTTATCTTCAAAAAAATTATAAAACAATCTTTTTTGCAATTTTCTAAAATACTTTTAATGATTAAAATTATATTATTCTAGTGCGTGAAATAAATTGCAAATTATACAATTCATCAACTTTAATGCGCGATCAACTTGAAAAATAATGCATATATCTTGTCTGTCATAGTACGTTTTTGTTCATTTAAAATTTAATTTCAATTCCAACAATAGCAAATCATCACAGACAAAGTATATAAATATGCCTTATGTATTATGTATCTATGTTAAAAACAACAATTAATTTAAATTTTTCACGCCAATAATTTTTCTTTTATAACCGTAATTTCAAAAATAATGTTATCGATAGCATTCACAAACAAATTTGGTTCTAATATTCAATGAGTTTGCGAGAAATTGAATCCTACTTGAAGATGTGTTTCGATTTATTAAACAAAATTTGAAAATCTTTATTAACACAATTTGAAATTTAAATGGACTCTATAATAAAAGCTAGAGATCTTAAAGATCACGAAATTCCAAAAATTGACAAATTATTTTCCTTGACTAGAGTATTTTACAAATTAGTGCAAAGCGCTTCAATTTGAACATGAAATAGAGTTAGTGGTAACTAAGTTAGTGGTACTATTAAAAATATTTATTGCTGAATTTTACAATACAAAAGGAACATAAAAGGAAAGCTAAAGATTTAATTAAGAAAATGCAGTTACAAAAGTTTACATTTCAATTCTCTAATTTAATTTTTTATGCAAATGAAAAGAAATATTTATTTTACGAGGTCAGAAATACTAACGCCACGTTGTGGCGAAATAATGGAACCAAACGCTTTATATAAATAGGATAGGACATATAGAACATAGGATAACCATAGGATAAATTTAATATTCAATGGTTTTTCGTGTTATCTGATCCCAGTACCATTTTGGTGTTATAGTTTATCATATTGGTTTAAGCAGGTTTTGCATCATAACGCCGCAGACGAAGTATATGAATAGACCTTGCATACAATGTACTTTTTCGGCCCACAACTAAAGGTTTCATGGACCATTTTCGTGTCATATCCTGTTGTATCGATTCAGGCAAGTTTTGTACCGCGAAAATCAAAAAATAAAAACAGTGTTGTAAGATTTCTTTCGAGAATTATTCATTGAATTGAATGTAGTGGTATTTCATCAATGAAGGAATATAACGATTTAAAACAGAGATGAAAAATTTAATATATATTTGATTATTAACATTTATTTAAAAATATTAAAAAAAATTTATTGAAATATGATACTTTTATGAACAATATAACTAGATATGATGCTTTTTTATTTACAAGTTTGTAAATTCACATTTTGAATGAATTATATCCCGTAAACTCGATTATGGGAGTAAAAACTCTTTATCCCGTAAACTCGATTTTATGAAAGTTTGAACTTATTAATAAAATATTTCCACAAATATTGTTTGCAATAAAGAAGCACATTATGTATTTGTAAATTATTTCTTGCAAAATTCATCCGTTTCGAAATTTCGAAGTCATTTCATTTCAGTCTATTCTCATAAGTTTATTTTTTTGATCGATACATATTTTCTTTTTTATATTACAATGTTATTTATTAGGACGAACTCACCGAGTTGCATTTTCGTTGAATTTCGTCTGTGGAATAAGGTTACATCTACATCTAAAATTATTGAATTAAATGTGAACGCTTTCTTATTTGCATAGCTATTCTTAAAAGACGAACAATTTAGTTTTTGTCTCGAATATGATTATTTTCTGCATAAATTAGTATTACGTGTCACAGACTTATAAATTAGCATTTAGTATATCTCAACAGAATTATAAGTTAAAAACTAACCGTGCAAACGTAGTTTCACTTTGCAAAAAATATAGAAATTACAGTATTTATTTATTGTTGTCTTTTATTGCTACCATTTAACGGAGGCAATGAAACAATAAAACTGTAAAATTATTGATTATTGAATAGAAAAAGGGTTTTTGAAAGTATTGACAAAGAATATCATCTGCTGTGCATCACTGACTTTATCTGAAGAATGAGCAGCGAGAAAGATCATAAGTTGAACGTTCATCGTGTGCACATCGATAAAACTTTCGAAGTGAATTTTTAAACAATATTTTCAATATTCTAATTGTTTAAACATTATCTAGTATTTCTAATAATTTATTTGTAACAATCAAAATTAATTCTCTTTAATAACATTTCCAACAACTATTTAAAATTTTCAGTTGATCATTTCTAGCGATCGAGTCATTAATACGTTTCTACGAAATTTTTGTAAACTGTTTCCCGTCGATCGGTACGGAAATAGGAGCTCAGTATAAATCGAACTTTCGTTGCGTACGCATCGACGAAAATTTTAGAAGTAAATTTCTAAATAATATTTCCGAATATTCTATTCGTTTAAACATTATTTAATATTTCTAATAATTTATTTGTTACAATTAAACAATAAATTCTCGTTTATAATTATTTAAACATTATCTAATATTTCTAATAATTTATTTGTTACAATTAAACAATAAATTCTCTTTTATAACATTTCCAACAATTATTTAAAATTATCAGTTGTAGCGATCGAGTCACTAATACGTTTCTACGAAATTTTAGTAAACTGTTTCCCGTCGATCGATTAACGCGATTAAATAAATTTCGATGAGTACGGAAATAGGAGCTCAGTATAAATCGAACTTTCGTTGCGTACGCATCGACGAAAATTTTAGAAGTAAATTTTTAAATAATATTTCCGAATATTCTATTCGTTTAAACATTATCTAATATTTCTAATAATTTATTTCTAACAATTAAACAATAAATTCTCTTTTATAATTGTTTAAACATTATCTAATATTTCTAATAATTTATTTTTAACAATTAAACAATAAATTCTCTTTTATAATTGTTTAAACATTATCTAATATTTCTAATAATTTGTAACAATTAAATAATAAACAATCTTCTACAACATTTCTAAATACTATTTAAAATTTTTAATTAATCATTTGTAGTAATCGAGTTACTAATACATTTCTAAGAAATTTTAATTAACTGTTTAATTAATTTAGTCTTTTGCTATTAATTTGTTAAACAAGAATATTCATTCAATATCTTAAATTAGTCATTAGATTGATTAAATAATTATGCCTTATTTTACGCGCGCGAATATCTTTTTTCTTTCTAATAAATTACTTAATTCAATACCAAGTTGTGACTCGGGTGATAAATATATAAAACAGTACTGATTTACAATACATTGTAATGAGACCCGTGCGTAATCACCTCCACGTGGTGGGTCTTGGTAATTGATATCGTTTTACAAACTTTAATGTTTGAAAAAACGATATCAAGCTAAGAATTACGCACCCTGCAGTTCAAGTTAGACCTTGTAAATTTCTTTCCTTTTTTTCATTTTAAGGTCTAAACTGGACTGTTAGGGACAATTAGTTGATAAGTAAATTATTGGGCCCCCAGCGGGCCACCGGTGGACGACGAGGGATCTCGCAGGGACATCGTGGGATGCGTGCGTCTTAGCTTTAAGTTGCGTGCGTTTAGCTTTAGTTAATTATAAGATTGTTCATATTTGTAAATTCACTGTGAGCGCATTTTGTACAAAGGCACGTTTATTTGAACTTGAAACGAAATTAGGAATCCCTCCTCTTCTCTCTTCTTTCGTTCGTTGTTACTATCGTTACAGTCATTGCACTAGAGAAGAGTTACCAACTTTCGCTGTCAGTGTGTCAAATCGGGGAACTGCAGCCTCGTTCGAATCGAACGAGGTGAGGTTCATGTAGTCTAGTTCCTTTGTAATCCGATTCAGCGGTTCTTCGGAACCCCACTGTTTCGTTGGGGGTTGCGCTAGACTACTTGCCCTAAGTGCTCGAACCCTGATTTGGCACACTGACAACGAAAGCTGGAAACAATACTCTAATGCAATGGCATCATTTTGCGTTATATCCCTTGCAAAGCATGGTATTGAAGCGTATCGATAGTTTCGTATCCCTTATTTCGTTCAAGGTTCGATAAACGTGTCTTTGATACAGAATGCTTGGTCAGGGCTGCGAATTATTGTACAATTATTATGTAACTTTCATGTTAGACAAGTGTGTGCTTAGTATAAAAGGCTGCGAGTGATTGCGACAAATTGTATGATTTGTATTCGATTGTATGATTGTATTGCGGTATTGTATGATTATGCGATTGTTAACGCGATCGTTGTTCGGGAGACAGAGTTCCATAATTCAATTTCATACATGCGCTTTAGGGTTAAGATTTAGACTTAAGTTTAAGATTGAACTATGGAACGTCTGTCTCCTATTTGCCCGGGTCAAGTAGAATAAAAACTCGGCATTCATTAAGTTGAATGCCGAATTTCTTGCA